TATGCTGTTGGATATCAACCACATGTTGTGCATGTGGCACTGGGTAGGTACCCCCCAGAGAGTTTGTTTTTGCACCCACAACATGGGGTTGCATGGAAAAAAGAGCAGCTGGATCGGAATTCGGTTCAACTACTGTCAAAGTAGCGCTACCTGTCCAACCAATAGTTAACCAACTACCTACCCGTCTCAGAAATCCTTGGATCAGAATCATGCCATCCTACGGAGTACATCTCTTGCAGACTATATTTCCTACGCTTTGGATGCTTATCCCTACCTCAGATCGGATGGACAAGAATCATCGACGGGTAGCAGGAATTTGGCCCTATCACTAGTTTCTGGATTTGGGCGGGCAACAGATAACTACTGATAGTCATCAATATGCCCATTGCTTCTGCCTGAATATCGGAAACTTTTCCTAGTGTCCTGCAAACCTAAGGATTCTTATATATTTCACTTAACCCCTCTCTCGATCTGATTACACCGCTCAACACACCCAGCAACCGCTTCAGAGGATCAAACCATCCGACTTCCTGCAGACAAAAGGCAGCAGTCATCAAACAGTCTCAAGATGAAGCTCTGGCAAACCCTTCCCTAAACACGCATATATATTTTTATATTCATCCGTTCCGACCCTCATCTTGCAAATGACTTTCATTGGGTATATTACTTCCACTCGCGGCCAACAGGGGGTGGCCAAATACCACATCAGAAATCTAGGTAGTGGGTAAATATTCGATCACAGCACTCAAGAGAACACTATATTCCGGGCAGAATTCCTATATGTGCTAATCCAAATTGCGACGGTCCCACAGGATCTGCAAGCGCAACTTGACAACCTCATGCGCGTGTATGATGGGAAACTAACCACTAGTTATTCCAGGTGTTACTTGTCGCAGATGGATAGTGGCCATGCTGAAGAAACTGATTCAACATGGGGTTGTTCCATGCAGTGACTTTGAGTGTCTGGACCGGTAACTATTGTTAAGGAGTTTGGGAACTCACATAGCGAGTCTACTGCGGAAAAGGAGCAGCGGCGTCCAGTTAAATCCAAGCTCTGTAATTAAAGGGTGTGTCCAACGAGATTTAGATTATCTAGATATTTAATCTTTATGCCTGCTTTGGTGGGAATGGGGCAGTCTGAGCGACTGCAATTGACTGCAATTTTGTCTTTATTTTCAAACGACGGGACTGGATCTTTTCCTTGTACGTATCTTTTCCCTTTCCCTTTGCACTTCCCTCTGATATATTTGCTCATTTGCGCTATTTCAAGAGTCCTGTGTTCATGAATCGATTGTTTCCATCCAACTAGCATGTCATCAGTTTTGGAATCGTGACATTGTAAAGCCTTGGTTGAATGTTTCAGGGTTTTTGCCGCTGTAAATCTATAATTACCGGGTAGTTATACTGGGGCGGAAAAACTAGTAGATAACTAATCGTGCCTCCGCGCACCCACACCTCTTGTGGGTGCGCCACAGCGTAATGATAAAAACAGCGTAACGATAAAAATATCAACTTCTTCATTAATCAATCTTCAAATATTAATATATCACCACCACCATGACCAATAAGATAGATGATCTTGAAAAACATATTCAGAGTGCCATTGAAGTCTATAATGGCAATTTAAAACAGAAAATCCTACCTCTGGCGCGCAAATTCAATGTTCCTTATCAACATCTTCAAGCAAGAATCAATGGAAGAAAAACACACAATGCAAAGACTGCACTGAACAAGAAGCTTAGCAAGAGCCAGGACGACGTGTTAAAAGAGTGGATAGCTCATATGGATAGAAATAATTGCCTGCTGACTGCAGAGCAGATTCAAGATAATGTGAATCTCATTCTCAAACACCATCATACTGATCCTTCAACCTCCCCACCTGTGGTCAGCAAGATGTGGACCTATCAATATATACAAAGTTTGGATGAGTATAAAAGGGTTAAGCAGAAGGCAATGGATCTGAAAAGAATTGCTGCTGAGGATATTAGCTACATCAAGGTGTGGTTTGACCATTTGGAAATCTTACTTCAAAAGTACGCGTTTCAAACCTGCAATATCTACAACTTCAATGAGATTGGCTTTCAAGAGGGTCAAGGATGTGGAGAATGGGTTATTACTGCTTTTAAAGACTTTAATTCAGTTATAACTTCATCATATTCTTGAGGATTGATCACTGTGATTGAGTGTGTTTCAGCAGATAGTGAGGTATTGGATCCCTTCATCATCATGAAATCCAAAACCCAACTTGAAGATTGGTATACACAAAGCAACCTACCAGGCGGATATACAATTGTGACATCAGATACTGGCTATACCAATGATGAGATTGGCTTTGCATGGATTCAGCACTTTAATGAGGCCTCTAAAAAATGTCAGCAAGACAGTCATCGATTGCTGCTTCTTGACAATCATGGATCTCATCTCACTGAAGAATTCCTACAATACTGCAATCTCCACAAGATTATTCTATATGGATTTCCTTCACATTCAACTCATATACTGCAACCTCTAGATGGCGTGCCTTTTCAGCAGTATAAGCACTACCATTCAAAGACAGTTAATCAAGCTGCGTGATATGAATATGAGCAGTATGAAAAATGTCAATTCCTACAGAATCTAGTTGATGTCTGCAAAAAGACTTTTCAACCTTCTACTATTCAGACTGGCTTTGTGGATCATGGCATTGTCCCATTCAACTCACAATCTATACTGCTTAAGCTAGATTCAAAGGTCCCTGACTACCCTGAGTTGCAAATATATGGAGAAGACTCCTTTTCACCACAATCAAGCTGTTCAGATACTGCTTCATCACAGCTATTCTCACCCAAGACAATCAAGAAGCTACAACATCATATTTGAGTGGCAAAGAAGGCAATGCAAGATATGGAGGATACACTTGATTCCAAATCACCTCACCTGAGCAATCGATTGAACAAGATTTTCAAAGGCAGTCTTGTTCAGGCGGAACTCAATGCTATAAGAGAGAGTGAGATTGAGGGTTACTACCTTGCAATCAAACACCGCAGCACTAAAAATACACGTCGGCAGGTTCAAATAGGAGGTATACTCACTGTCAGGGATGCAAATAGAAAGATCATGCAACGTAAAGAGGAGGAAGCAGAAAAAGAATGTTATAAGGGAGTCAAACATGTTGGGAGAGCTTTGAAGAAAAATGCCACGGATCCAACTCAACAAGAGGTTAATGATATATATGAACGTCTCCCGAATAATACAGCTACTACGGATGATATAGATAAATTAATTATCATAGATTAGCAGCGTGGTGATGAGATATTAATTTTTGAAGTTCTAATTATCCATATTTTTATCGTTACGCTGTTTTTATCGTTACGCTGTGGCGCACCCACATCAGGTGTGGGTGCGCGGAGGCACGATTAGTAACTAATAGTTGAAATCCATCCGACTGAATCTCACTTTTCTGTGGGTTTTCTGATACGAACTACACGTCAAGGCATCCAGTGCCTATTCTGGAGACCAGGATACCAGGTCAGAAACCTGAAAATCCCGTCCCATTTCCCTCCCCAGTGATGCGGAACTCCTTGAAATTCCTGTGCACAAGGCAACGCAATGGGCTCAATGCTTGGAGCCTCTCTGTATGCAGGATGACGCAACTGACGGGCATCCTTGGGAGCTTCCATGGCTTGGATCCGTCGGCAGATCAAGAACCCTAAGATAGTAATCTGTGGAGGCTCTAATCAACAGCAAACGACCCAACCGTAAATGTCTTTGGAGGTTCTGATCAAGGCTCCGATTGCTGAACAAATTTCATTTCTTTCCTATCAAACAGTACCATTTTGCGTGGAATTATAAGTTTTCGTCTTGCAAAGCCACCGGATTTCCATCCTAACATCGAAGAAGTCATCTCGAGTCGCAGCAGAGCAATTTTGGATTTGTTTTGTCATTAGGATGGAAATCACGGTATTAAATTACTTTTTTTAATGTCCAGCGCAGTTAGTAATATGGATGCATGCATTCTTACCTTTTTGCATCATAATCATTTCCTCTCGGACTTGTCCCATTCAAGGACTCGACGACAAGGGGATTTTTATGAAGTTGGCCTGGAAGTTCTCCTTAAATTTGAACCAGAACATGGCGAAAGTAGCCTTGGATGAAGACATCATATTAGTATCAATAGCTGCTTGCTTTTGACTAGAGGTCAATTGGCATATTGTCATATTCAAAGAAAATAATAACTGGAATCACAGAATTCTTCTTTACCCCTAACCTGTAGTCCTGTCCTCCAACACGTACAAGATGATGTGTAAAGTTATCTGTCTGATGTTGAGTTCAGATGGACAAACTGAAGAGTTCTGCCTCCTATTCGTTCTACCACACAACCACTAAGTTACCAACCCAGCAACTTCAAACAACAAACTATTCTATTATTATATACATGCCCTGGAAGGAATACGCCCCGTAGAGCTTCGGGTCTTGCTGGAGGTTGGGTAACTACTACTCAGCTAAAGAAGTAGTTGATCATATTTAACTCCATACACTTATTTACACAATCCCAAATCCAAACATTCATCAACACATTTCAACATCAATCCATATAACTACTTCCTTCCCACCGATATCCTTTTCATGCTTCCCCTTTACTTTGACAACATCGAAACATTCATCAGCGCAGCAAGCACATGTCGTAGGCTCCGCTCAATCCTCTCCAACACTCTACCAAGGGTGATTCTCCTTTTAGCTGCCCCCTCCGCCCCACACATTCTTCTCCCCACACCCGCACTTCCTGGTCATAGCCGTGGCCCAGCAAGTCCGTGACTGGGCCATCGGTAACGAAGAAAATAGCCGGCATCTCCGTGCCGCCTGCCAGGGCGGTATTGACGGCCTTTATGATTTTTGCATACATGAGTCATCAATAACCTCAATGCGGGTCTCACACTCGACCTGATCCCCACATTCTATGAAGCCCGCTTGTCCATCATCAATCCTCTCGCGGACTTAATTGACAAGATAGCTGTCGCTTCATGGTCCCAGACACCCAGCTTCTGGCACAGGGGGGTAAGCAAACACAACACCACACCTTCTCCGTTGACACCAACCGTACGGCACTGCAGCCTATCATCTACGGTGAGCTATTTGGTAGCAGCATGAAGCCATTCCTGGAGCCTGGGTCCAGCGGGGAAGGGGCAGATTCACCGCTGCCATTCTTTGATCTAGATTCTAGACTCGACTATGTCGAGTACTGTATCCAAAATTTGGTGTGTAAGAGTTATCCAGGCGTTGGATTCTTACCCGTTGGCCGCTATGCGCCTGAGAACCGGGACACCTTACCGCCTGATCAGTATGAGCTAGCTTCGGCATATCCTGACCTGCATGCGGTGGCAGCGCATGTGGGCGGATGTAAATGGCTATGGTGAGTCCGGTCTTTGCCAAAAGGGATATGGAGAAGGGACCCTTTGATGATGATGAAAAGGATTCACAGAAAGAGGACGAGGGAGTTTGGAGATTGAAGTTAATCAGAGATGCGTTGCAGACCATGGGGATTGAAGGGATGCAACTACTGACTCTGCCGCGGGAGATAATTCCCCCTGAGCTTCTTCTGGTGACGGTGCGCAAGATACGGGACCAAATTGAGGCACTGAAGCAACCGCCTCCTGTGTATATTGTTGGTGACGTGTTGCAGGCGCCTGTTTCACAGGATGTTTACGTATGCATGGCCACCTACTGGCGCGGAACAAATTAGGGGGTGATTCATGATATAACTAGGTGAAAACTACACCATACTGAAGATGGATTTCCCCATCGGGAATGTGGGTTGAATTTACTTTTTTTTTTTTCGACCTCTTTATGAGTAATCTTAGGCTGTGATTTCGTGAATTTGGGATCTGCTTGTTGGAATACATCATGAGCATTTTTCGCTCCCCAGATAGATATGCCTTGCTAACTCCGAGGTGCGGTAGCCAATATGTTATAAAAACACCTCATGCTTTGTGCTTTGACTCCCTCACCCTGCTACGAGCTAACAATCCTCGCAACCGCACTAAACGGAGATGCAATCCAGATTATTCCATATTAAGGGTCTGGTGACCCGCAAACTGCGAGGGCATAGATACCCTTAGGAGTGGAAAAGCCACACTGCTGCAAACTCTGAGCAAAGCCAATGGAATACAGCTGTCTTCAGTGAAAACTCGTCGACATGATAACTAGTATCTCGCGTAATAGTAATTGCAAGGCACTATTTAGTTAACAGAGGTGCGTCTTTCTGAATGGTTGTCAAGGTCACGTATCCAAGCAGATACCAATACGATATTTGCAATGGTACTAGCAGGGGATGAACCTATGGAAATGATGCCCGCTTTTATTAAATCCATTCTTTTGCAACTCCGATTGGACGTGGATGGTATCTTCACCGTATCATCGAACGAGATTAGCGGAATACCCACTCCCTTGGAGAGGGTTGCATGCACAACTAAGTAAGTAATGCTACCTCCCACATGCGTTGAAAATGTCCCTGGGAGGTATTCTGGTTCACCCGGAAACCCTTGGGCTGGGATTGCACAGTTCACGCAGATAGTGGAGGGAGCTGTTTTGGGTTTGCGGATGTTCCTTGACATAAACATGTAGCTAATTATGCTCTAGCCACGTATTAGTTAAGGCATTCATCTTTCCATCGGGTATGCAATCCCTAGTCCTCGGTTTAGATGCAAGAAACTGATGGGATGACGGTGCTCAATCTGCGCCAATAAGTCAAACCCCACCATATCGTCGTCCCAACCTCTCTCTCTAGGGGGAAAAAAAAAACCCCTTCCCAAAACCCCGCACTCTAACATGGCCTGACCTGACATGACATTCTGACATCAATTTGAACCCTGATCCTGACCTGCACCAAACTCCTGTTGCCAACGCATCATTTCTTCTACGACGGTAGCCAGCCAGGTTCTCTTGGCTGTATACGCCACTTTGCCTCTCATACAACCGACGTCCCCAATCCATCCACCCCCACCAAACTAACCGATGAGCCGGTCACCCCTACCCAGCATCCTCTGCCTTCACGGCTCCGGTACCTCCGCTGCCATTTTCGAAGTTCAGACTGCTCGTGTCCGCCGCGAGCTGCAAAACCGCTTCTCCTTCGTCTTCCTCGACGCTCCCTTCGAAACAAATCCTGGCCCTGGTGTTCTACCGGTTTTCGCCGATGCGGCTCCATACTTCACATGGCTGGATCCCTCGGCCTCATCGCCTCCCCCTCGTTCACTTGATCGAAGAGATGGTGCAGGTGGAGATGAAGATGGTAGTTTATTATCGACCAGGGATAATGCATGCCGCCGTGGGCATACCAAGCTGATGCCCCCGCGCACAGCAGAGTTGCTAGAGAAGACGATCCGTGAGCAGATTAAGAGGGACGGGAGGGGATTTGCTGGCGTTATGGGTTTCTCGATGGGGGGGAGATTGGCGGCCGGACTATTGTTGGACCAGCAACTGCGTCTACTTGAACAGCAACAAACGAATGGGCATGGAAATGAGAATGGTACCAGTGGTGACCATTTGTCCTCAGCGGTTGATCGGGACGAACTGTTCAAATTCGCGGTTTTTATATGTGGTACTTCACCACCAATAACCAGATTGCATGATCTTCTTGATCATGAAAACGTTTATGGAAAGGGTGACAAAATTACCCTCCCTCAGATTGATATTCCCACCCTGCATATTCTGGGTCTCCAGGACCCTTGGTTCCGCCAGGGGGAGTTGCTAGCGACAACTCACTGCACTCCTGATAAGAGAACGATCCACAGATTAGATATGGGCCATCATCTCCCAACCCAGAAGCAGGACAATATGCTGCTGGTCGAGGGGATTCTGGAAATGGCAAAGCAGGTGGGAGTGTGAAGTGGGATTTATATCTTGAGTTCTCTCTTATATTTCTACGGGTACTAGAACATGTTTCACGGAGCTAGAATTTCATATTTTCTATTGACAGAGAGTGTTAACGGGGCTGCGATAGATGCATATTTCGTTTTTAGCCGGCAAGACTCCTGACATTTGCTGGGATGTAGGGAGCTTCGCTTGGTTATCAACTCAGGCCATTTGGGCTACATGGATATTATACAACTACATAGAACATTTTCCTTTGTTTTACGAGCGCTAGACGACTATGCGACTTTACACTTGCTTCATGATGGCCTGGTCACTCTATATACAACCGGCGTTCGCGGTTCAAATACGGTTCCTGTGCAGAACTTTATTTTTCCCGCTCCCTTCCCGCGGACCCACAGCGGATATGCACGACATATTTTAATACCCGTCACTTTTCCTTTTATATTTTATCTCTCTAACATATATTCTATATTGCTTCCACGTGTTTCATGCCGCCATCTCTAAATGCAATTCACAGAAGTCCTGACTGGCAAAAAGTTTGGTGTCTCATAATTATCCACCTTCAATCCGAAGAACAATAGCCCGGCAACATTCCAGGATTTCTATAGGCTACAAGCCACCAACGTCTGAACCACAGTGTCGGAACGACCCAAAAATCCTAAGGAATATTGCAGGGCTATCTCCAGTGTGGCGGATATCCTGACTATACGGCACACATTTCCATTATTGGTTTCCAATGGAGCTGTGTCTTGCAGGCACTGCCAGCGCAGCAGACCCTCTCTCCTGGGACGATGAACCAGATGAACAATAAAAGTAAGGTTAATTAGTCTCGAGTGACCCATACCGTCGGTAAGTTGGTTACATGCTTACCCCACGCAGCTGCGTTTGGAATGCTTTCTTCGCGTACGTCCTGCACGTGTACTGAACATCCATGCGTTCTAGGGTGTGTTGATGCCTCCCATGTGAACAAAATATCAATGCAAGTTGGCGGGGTTGTGAGTTTAGGGGCCGTCTTGACCTATAGATGGCGTAGAAGCAGAGTATATCAACGCTTGATGAACAGGATTATGGAGGAAGGGCATATACTCCCTGTTCGGTTGTCTGTCTCTGGTTCTATTATTGGGCTTGATATTGGCGGGGTTGCGTTTGGATTTATGCACTATTAGAATAGTAACCGAGCAGAAGGTATGCAAGAGTAAACAATTAGGGATGTTGTAACTGGCTCTCTAATACTTCTCTCCGCTTTATTCCCTACGCTCTCTTTGAAACATCTTAGATGCTATTATCATTATTATTATTATTATTACTTATTTAACGCCTGGAGGCACGTGATCAGCTGACTAAGAATAGTCTGCCGTCGCGGCCACAGCACCTCCCTAAGGGTATCAGGCGTGCCAGCGCAGCAGCTAGTCTGCTGCCTGACATGTCTAGTCGGCCGAAGCCCTCTTGAGAGTCTATGTACAGAGTAGCCCCCGTCCTGGAGGTTCTGAATGGCGTAGTAGCCGAAGATTACGGGACTGAGGAAGCCAAGGGCTTCTAGGGTGGTGTGTAGGGGTGATGAGAAATGTATATAAGGAGCGTAGGAAAGAGAGAGGGGGAGGGAGAAGTCGGATGTTGAACAGGTTCTAGTAGCGGCGTTGGATGTCGATGAAGAAGCGGGTATTAGTGCACCAGGTAGAGAAGGTCGTAGCTCCTCTTACTGTGCTGAGAAGCCAGTCAATTGCTTCCTTTGGTCCTCGGCATGCTTCAGGGGTTTTAATTCGTTCAATGTTCCGGCCTTTCCAGCAAAAGAAGAAGTGCTCGGGGGTCTTATCTCGGCCGCAAGAGCAGGTGAGGAGTGCGTCGTCATGTGCCCATCTGTGATGATAGGCTGCAAAGTCACCGTGGCCTGTTCTAGCTGCCAGCAAGTGGCCTAGGTTCCTTCGGGGGAGAGTGAGCTCAGGGGAGGGTCCTTTTGGCATTGGGATATTGAGGTCCTTGTATCGTGATGTGCTATTGGAGCTCCAGTATTGTTGCAGTGAGGCATTGAAGCGTTCTTTAGCATAGGATTTGGCCCGCGCCAGGGTCAGAGTGCGGCGAGTGCATTCCATTGTGCAGGCTGACTTGGCCGCAGCATCTGCGGCATCATTGCCTGGAATCCCAGCGTGGCCGGGGCACCATCGAACATAGACCCGTCTCGGGCCGGCTGGACCTGGGCCCTGTTTTGTCCAGGACCTGCGGAGTTCGTTGAACTTAGCAAAGGCGAGAAAAGATGTTCGTGTGGGCGTGTCTGTGTGGAGTCTTATTGCAGCCTCTTCATTGTCTAGAGCCACTATAATGTGCCGTGCGAACATAGAGAAGGGGTTCCGTAGCGCTGCCTCGAGACCGGCAACTGCTGCAAGCACTTCAGCATCAAAGACCTCAGCGGTGCGGCCCAGAGGCAGCTTACCAAGCTCCAGAGATTGATTTGTTCCTCGGTATAGACAGTAGCCTCCGCCTGAAACTCCTTGGCTGTCTTTGGAGCCATCAGTATATGTGATGAGATCGAGGGGGGATACAGCTTTCTGAAGCCAGTTTTGGAAAGCTGCTGGTCCTGCAGCTTGTCCCACAGCCCCAATTTCTAGTGCCTTTTGCTCTCTATTTGGTATGCCAGGATTGTCCCAAGGAGGCAAGGACCCTGAGCCGGGTGTGATGGCCGTCGTTTTAATGTTTCGTCTAATCCATTTAAAACGTGAGGTGTACCATCTTCGGCGTAGGGGATGTGACGGGTCGGCTGCAGCTACGCGAACGGCTAGTCGGTCATGTATTCTTTCTAGCCAGGCTTTGGCCGGGCCCCAGCTTGATTCGCGTAGGAGAACAGGGGTAGGCGTTGTGGCAAAGACAGGTAGAATGGCTCGAGCAGCGTTGTTGAAGGCTACCTGAATCTTGCCAATGGCTGCCTGAGAGGTTCGCTTCGAGAACCAGGTCTCAGCTCCATAAAACAGAGTGCTGAAGGCACAGCTTTGAGTTGCTTGTCTGAGCAAATGTGTTTGATTTCTGAATGAGGCTCCATTTAGTGATTTAACATGTCCTGTAACAATTCTGGCTCGAGTGCACGCAAGGCGAATATGTTCTCTGAAGAGTAACTTTCTGTCAAAGAAAACCCCTAGCCATCTGGTGTAGTTATTGGGGGAAATTGTCTGTTCATTAAAGGAGATGGAGGGCTCCAAGTACTTGATCTTTTTATGAAAGTATTGAAGCTCCGTCTTGGCTGGGTCAAATGAGATTCCATTGTCAATACCCCATTCCAGGGTGTGGTTGAGAGAATTCTGAAGCTGACTTCCTACCCGCTCAAGGGAGCTTCCAGTCTCCAGGATTGCAATGTCGTCTGCGTACCCAAACCGGCCTTTGGTAAGCTGGAGGAGGGGTTCTACGTAGAGCAGAAAGAGAATTGGTGAGACAGGGGATCCCTGTGGAAGGCCACAGAGAATCTGAAACACCTTCGATTGAACGCCGTCTAGTCGAATCAAAGCTAGTCGTTGATCGAGGAAAGACGCTACCCACTTTATCAGAACTGCCGGCCAGCCCTGTTCCTGTAGACGTCTTAGAAGCCGGCCTCGAAGGACTCCGTCGAAGGCCCCTTTGACATCTAGGGTGATCATGCCGGCCAGAAGGTGTTTGTCCCATGCCCCTTGTACGTCACAGGCTAGTGCAGTGGTGAGGTCTACTGCAGACCTCTGTTGAACAGCACTACACTGATCTTCTGCTAGAATGTGATGATGGAGAGTGAGATGGGACATTCGTCTAGCTATCAGACGCTCCAGCCCTTTGCCGAGGCAGGATAGCAGTGCGATTGGGCGGTAAGACTTTGGTAGAGAGTAATCTCTTTTCCCTGACTTTGGAATAATCACCACCTCAGCCTTCTTGAAGCTCTGGGGGTGGATTCCTTGATCTATACAGTGTTGAAAGAGTAGAACAATTCGATTGCCTATCACTGGCCATGCCTTTTGAAGAACCTTGGCTGTAATGCCATCCAGGCCAGGAGATGTGCTAAGTGTCTGGCAGGTGGCTCTGTAGACTTCCTGCTCTGTAAGGGGCATCCAGGGTATCTCTCTGCATGGGATTGTTGGTGTATGCTCTGGGATATCTTCCGCGTCAAGATGTCTGGCCAGAAGTGTCTCGCGCAGTAGAGAAGATTTGCCAGCACAAGATTGTTCTAGGTGTCCGTCGGGATGTCGTAAAGGAGGGGTGGGGTCTTGAGGTTGGTATTTATGCCATTTGACAATCTTGTAGACATCTGATAAGGAGGAAGCCTCCTCAATTCGCTGGCGATTCCATGCTCTCTTAGCTTTTCTAATTTCCGCCCGGAATGCCACTTGTTCTGATTGACAAGGGCCGTGTCTACGTGCTGCATGATATACTCTTCTGGCTATCTTGACTGCTGGGGTCCACCATGGGGCATGATGACTCTTGGGTCTTGGGGCGAGAGAGCAGGAGCCTTGTAGAGCCAGTTGGAGAGATTTCACGATGTCCGCCGCTTCCTCATTCACGTCCTCATAGACCGGTGAGGAGAAGGGAGTGAGTAGTTGCAAGAAGCGATCAGCATCGCAGGTCGCGAGGCTAAGCTTCTTCTCCTTAACCAATTGAGTCTGAGTCTGTGATAATTGAACTGTTGTGATAAGAGTTTCATGATCTGAGGTGCAGTGCAGTTCAGGAGCAATATGACAGATAGCTGAGTTGGCAGCACAGAAGACAAGGTCAAGTGTGCCTCCTTGTCTATGTGTAGGGGATTCAGCCGGGTTGAGAAGCTGGAGTTCAAGAGAGATTGCCCAGTTATACAGATTCTCTCCTGCTTGAGGATGCCTATCAGTTGTAGAGTCCCATGCTGTGTGTCTAATATTAAAGTCTCCTAATGCCATCCAGGGGATGGTCTCTGTGGTGTGTGTAAGAGAGAGGAGGTCTTGAAGGCCTTGACCTGCATCTGTGGCGCCAGATGGGGCGTTGTATATGTTGTAGATATTAGCCCTTTTGGAGTTAGAGATCTTAACTGAGACACAGACAACATCCCTTGAGATATCTGCTATAGGTTGAGTTGGCGCAAGGGCCCTTCCATTTCTGACATAGAGCAGTACTCTGGGCCTCTTGGTCCAGTTGGAGGAGAGCGGGGTGAAGCGTTTGTATGAGGGATGGCTTTTGGAGAGGCGGGTGGAGAGGTCCGTAGCTATCCAGGGTTCCTGGATGGCCACAATGTCGCAGGCTCTTTCGTCTGCTAGTGAGAGAGCAATGTCGTGGGAGCTTGGCTGTCTTCCTACATTGGCTTGATATACAGTGAGTGTAGATTTGTGAGGAGGGCTGTGACTGCTCTTCATTAGTGGAGGTTCAGACTTGGTGTGATCTTGGTGCCTGTTTGAGAGCAGGTCATTGAGTCTGTCTGGTTGCTCTGGGAGCTAGTGACTGGTGTCAGCGGGGCTGAGAGAGGGGATGAGGTGGAGTCTCTAGAGTTTAGCTCTGGGTTGCTCTTCTCTGCTGAAGTTTGATGAGCTGAGATGAATGCTCTTCTGCCAGCTTCGCGTATTGAGTGTAGCTGACGGCGGGAGATGTGTTCTATACGTCCAGAGACTATTTTGGGCCTCGCTGGACAGTCAGTGCTGAGAGTGGGATGGGGGCCAAGGCAGTTGCAGCAGCGAGCTGGTGTTTGACATCCACCTGAGTGTGCGGGACTGCTGCACTTCTCGCAACGTAGGGGTCGCGCACAGTTTCTTTCTGTGTGGAAGCCGTGACATCTTGTGCAAATTGGGATCTTTGGCGATTTCTTGATTTTGTTAACCATCACCGGGCGACTGAAAAGGCGGAGTTTGTTTGGAAAGAGGTGCGCTCCAGAGGTTCGTACTCCAACCCAGGCGTACCCTTCATGCAGATTGGGGTCCATGGACTTCTTTGTCCAGTGACAACGGGTGATTGGAGCCTGGTGGGCGGCGCCTCGAATCTCAGAAAGAAGCATCTCTTCTGACACTGGAATCAGAGTGATATTCTGTCCTTCGAAGCTGTGTGTCGACTTCTTGATTGGGCCGACTACAAAGGTGGTCCAGGATTCCTGTCGCTCAATAAGACAGTCACCTACAGCAGCTTTCAGCTTATCTGCATGTTCAAGAATGGAGGCTGCCTTCTCTGGGGAGGGGGCAGCCACGGTGATTCCCGATGGGCAGTGCCATACATCAGTGATCCAGGTCGGATCAGGGATCATGGCGCGTACTTGTTCACGAATAGCTTGGGGGTCTAGGTCACGAGCAGCATGTGCTGCAGGTAGCCTAATCATGACTCGTTTGTCTTCCTGTCCTTGGTGCAGGGGGCGGTTGGCCCGCTGTACCTGCTTCTTGTGAGGTTGTCCCGTTGCTGGAACGGCCTGGGGGGGATTGTTTGAGGGGATTGCCTTAGCTGTCGCGGCGGTAGCATACGTCAACGTAGGCTTTGATTCGGCGGTGAGGCCTTTAATGGCTTTGGCTATGCCGTGTCCCATGGCTTGCCTTAGTACGGCAGTCTGGCGTGGTAGAGAGTTCTCATAAGTGCAGAGTATCGGGTCCAGTACCACAGATAGCTTATTGCATAGCTCAAGCACTGCAGCTAGCTCTGCAGAGGAGGAGTTGTTGGCATGACTCAGCAGAGCATTGAGCTTATAATTCGCTGTGGAAGAGGAGTTCTTCGCGGTTAGCGGGACTGCTTGAGTGCAGTCGGTCACATTCTCAATGGATTCTCCTCCTGGTGAGAGGGCCGGGCGGGGATTGAAGTCGATATTGATTTGATGTAGTTGAGCTGTGGTGGCTGTTGTAGTGTCCGACGCGTCCTGGGACGTGGTGTTTTGGGGCTGGGGGGGGTCGTCCGGGGGTTTTAGCGGAGCAGAGGAGATTGCGCGGGCTCTCTTCTTTTTAGAGCGAAGAGGAGCCTTGGTGATAGCAATGTTGCTGTTGTTTTGGCTCATCGCGGCGAGATGCTATTATCATTGATGGAGAGAAGGTGGGGAAAAGAGTTGCGACCCACGTGACCACAGTTATGTCTGCCCTGATTACCTAATTATGCAATCCATGTTTGCACTATTACGTCATCTATAAAACCTGCGGAAAAGAAATAATCTTCAAATCAACATTGAAGCAAAACAGCTTACTTAAACAACTTTTACTGAAACACTTTTTTATATCTCAGTGCATCTGCCCACAATGGTGCTCATAGAAAAGCTTCCTGACGACTTCGATGAATCTCTTAATCTCAACAAACAAGCCCCTGCCGTTCCCACTCCTACCCTCGGTGCACAAGCTTTTCTCAACGAAACACCCTTTGGAATCAAAGAGAATGCTCTCTCAACACAATCAACAACCAGCCCCGCCATGCCTCCGGGAATGGCCTCCATTAAGTCACATACAGCGGATGAAATATTGGATATGATGAACAAGACCCCACTATTTATGACTGATCTGTCAAAAGCAACTGACGGAGGTCAGTGGTAAAAATACCGTAGTTCCTCTTTATCTCTATGATCGATATATTAAATTCTGTTTTCTGCAGACGAGGATAATATTGCGCTCGAAGCTATTCGCTCTCTGCAATATGAAGGAACAAGAGCAGAAATCGCCCAGGGATTCCGCGAGTCGGGAAACGAAGTTACAAGGCAAAAGAAGTGGAGTGATGGGAAAGAATTTTACAGCAAGGCCATTGGGGTCCTTGCGGGGGACAATGAATGGGAGAAAAGTGATGATCCTGAGGGAGATATTATAAAGGAACGCGAGATCGCGGAAGCCTGCTATACCAATCGCGCATTGTGCAATTTGGAATTAAGTCAGAGATCCCCTCAACCCAATCAGAGCTCATATAAAAAATGCATTGTTAAGTTATACATTGTTCAGTGGGCTAATGCATACACCTCGCAATATAGAAAACTATAGATCCACAATACTCGACTGTGCATCGGCGTTGAAATTCAATCTGAAAAACGTCAAGGCCTACTATCGATCAACGTGCGCTCTCTTCGCCCTGGACAAAATTCCGGAAGCAGAAGATACCTGTGCGCGAGGTCTGACACTCGACCCATCCAATAAATCCTTGCAAGCCATGTCGTCGAAAATATCCGCGCGGAAATCATCCCTCCAGGCAATCGCTGAGAAGCGACGCGCTGAGGAGGAACGAGCTCGCAAGGAAAAACTAGTCCTCAACGCCGCATTGCGAGCGAGGGAAATCAGAGTCAGGGCCTCGGACAAACCGCCCGAACTTGAAGATGCTGTCGTTCACCTTTCGCCCGATCCGCTTTCTCCTGAAAGTACACTCGTGTTCCCCAGCGTCTTCCTTTACCCCATGGATGCTCAGTCGGATTTCGTCAAGGCGTTTTCTGAGATCGAGACGATAGGAGATCACTTGGGCTATATTTTCCCCTTGCCATGGGATTCAGGGCAGGAATATAGGCTGGACTCTGTTGACTGCTTTATGGAGACGGTGACTGGTGGGCTCATCAAGGTTGGGAAGAAAATGTCGCTGCTGAAGATTCTGACTGGGGGGAAAGTGGAAGTCATTGATGGGTTGGTGCGCATTAACATTGTGCCGACGACCAAGTCAAAGAAATGGATTGAGGAGATGAAAGCGAGGAAGGGCACTTGATTGTTTTTGCTGTGTCCACGCGACTCCATCTCGCATGCGCCAGTACGATTTAACTTGATGGAAACGACTCAATATACATGCGCTCCTCGCTCGCTAGTGATCTACACCCTGTTCTTCTGTCATCAGGGAACATAATTGAAATGAACAGAAAAGAAGGGCTGGGCAAAACTAATAAGATTCAACTACACATCTATTCTTCAATTTGCTAACCCTCCAGCGGCTCTATGATTCGTCATATAGATCCTACCATATATGCCTTCAAATATACGCTGATATGGAGGCCCACTCTGCCTCCCTTCTAGTGCACTTCCTCCACGTCCCGATCTTTTGCCATCTTCCCGACACGAGACCATCTGCCTACTTGGTTGAATTCAAGGAATCGATAAACCCATTTCAGAAATATGCCCATGAACAAGTTGCAGCAGCAGACATACACCCGAGCTACGTAGTTGATACTAATATTATCTCCAGACCTCTCCATTTTCAAAAGCTATTAGAGAATTGGAGACCCGGTTGGAGCCGTGGAAAATACATAGTTCATACATGTATTTCCAATTAAATCTGACATTGACAATAGAACGAATGGGGTATTGAGGCAGCTGATAACTGAAAGTTGCAAAAAGTATAGCCATAGATTATAGGATAAAATACTTCCTGTCCCTTTGCACATTGAGGCTAAGACTGGATCAAGGTTGAGACTGGAAGCTCTCCACAGGTAGAAGGCGAGGATAATACTAAAGATGTGGTCAACGGTCTTAGGACGTCTGGTGTCACGTAATCCCGTGTTAAGGAGTACGCTCTCTGTGTTGCAGAATTGATGATTAGACCATACCTAGGGAGTATAGATGGCCAGCCAGGGATAGAGAGTCAAGAAACAAACCTGTTAACCGAGCCCATTGTGAAGATTGAAATAAAATTAAATAAACAAATAAAAAATCCAGAAGTGACGTGTCGATTGATGTTCACACTTTCCCAGCCACCCGCGGACTCCTCCTCCTCCTCCCCATCCCCTCCCCAACTTTCCCTCAAGGGTCACAATCTACGAAACTGGCACACGACGGCCGTCAATCATCAATGCTGGTCATGCCAGTCATCCTTCAAGCTTGGGGGATCAACAGGCTCCCAAGAAACGTGGTCACCCACTACTGCGACCCAATTGTAGCAGCAACTTTAGTAGAGAGGGGCATTGCAGGCAAGACGAGAGGAGTAACTCGACAGTACCACCCACGCCCTGGGCCATCCTGCGTACAGTGCACCAGGGACTTCCCACTATTAGTATTGCCGAAAGATGAGAGGCTCTAACTAACAGCTGCAAGTAGTGCATTGGATGGTGAAAGCCTGTGATTTGCAGTTCTGTACGGAGTACAGTAGTTTTATCATACAAACTAGTCACATACCCTTCGTCCTTATAAGAAGTTGATAATAGCCTTTGAACCGAGGTTTGCGCGGGTTGGTATAGTGGTATAGCTGTTTCAGAGCTGTTGATACGGCTAGTCCTAAAATCACGCCAAGCTAGTTATTAATCAGTCAGACTAGCCAATTAGAGACGATAACTTTTCCATTAATATCACGGGACTGTAATATTCGACCTGCTCTGTGTAAAACTGATACGGCAGCCGTGAATTTGTTCCGCCCCTGACAGGCTGACAAAGCAGAGCTTGGCAACAAGCCACAACTTCGGTCAGACTCAGTCAGACTCAGTCAGACTCAGTAACCTTCAACCCCGTCACCGTCCAGCATCAAACCATCCATCCATCCATCCGCAGAACCCACCCGTGGAATCTAGCTGCTGGCCAGGTTGCTATTTCTCCCAGCCCCCCTGTCTCAAGCCTAGGCAGGACTCCAAGAAACGCAGAACTTGGCCTGGCCTCCAACTCACCGACAGACGCATACACGCTCACACGCTCTTGCAACTCCCCAAATACCCTCCAATACCGACTTAAACATCGGACGCGCTTGTTTACTTGCTCTATCACCGATCAGTCATTCAGTCGACACTCTGATACCTTTGTACCTGGCGGCTTATCCTTCTGGCTAAACGCTATCTCCTTGGGTCCCGTTGTCAACTGTCTTACGAACCGTCGACTTCAACCGTGGCTCCCCTACCCTGCGGGCATTTTAACTATTTAGCTAATATTTTTGCTTTGACTATATTCCCGCCGCCAGGTCGTTGTGTATATATCTTTATATATAATATATACTGCTAAATAATAATGAATCAACCACCTTCTTCTTATCCGGCCCTCCAGCAACATCCCATGGCCGCCATCTCCCCCGCTGGCTACCCCATGCAGCATCCACAAGCCCATGCCCATGCCCAGGCACAGGCTCAGGCACAGGCTCAGGCACAGGCTCAGGCACAGGCTCAAGCGCAGGCTCAGGCACAGGCTCAGGCACAGGCTCAAGCGCAGGCTCAAGCTCAAGCGCAGGCTCAGGCTCGCGTTCAGCAAATACCCTACTTTGCAAATCCAAATCCTTATCCTCCCCAGACAAGAGCGCCACAGATCCGCCACCACCAGCCCGTGCAGCATGGTTTCGGGCCCGTTCCACTGCACGCTGGTGCCGGCGGCGCTGCATCAACCATAATGATGTCCCCCGGTCTTCCCCATCATTCGCCTGGTCTTGCTGTTGGTCCTGGTAGGTCATCTCCTCCCCTTCTTATCTGGTTTTTAAATGGGATTCTTTATTCCGGTTCATTAGTTATTTGGCTGCTCTCATGCCGTAACTAGCCCGTGGTTCCTATTTCTCCCTCTATATTGCTACCCCATTGGTCTTTTTAGTTCGTGATTATTCCTGTCTAATGCCTCCACCTTCATTTCTTCCTCCATTCTTCCCATCTTTATATCCCGATCTTCACATCATTCTATAACACTGTCCTTTCCTCCATAAAACTTGCTCAATTGTGGTCTAGCCAGTATCTATCTGATGGCCCTCCCCCCCAAACTTACTAACTGTTTCCCTTGCTGTCATATATTTCTAGTGCCTCACCCCCAAAATTTCTCAAATCCTCAGTATATGCAATCGATCCCAACGTCCCTGGCGCAGTCCCCGCTTCCTCAGTCGCCTTCTACCCAGAATATGGTTCCTCTTTCACAGAGCCAGCCCCAAACCATGACTGCAGTCGCCGCATCAAATCCCCTCTTTTCTACCCCGCCCCGCCCCTCCCCCTCCCAGCCTCCAAATCAGCAACAACAGCAAACCCAGTCCCCTGTTACTACCCCTTCTTCCCAACAAACTGCTCGTGAAAGGGCCCGTGTAACCATTCTCCTTGATATAAACTCAGCCCTCTTGCAAGAGGTCATGAACCTTCGCGCCTCCGGCAAAGCAGGCGAAGCCCCCAGCCAACCTGCCTCACATCAGTTGTCACCCATCAAAGACAATAGAACCACTTCCCCCCCCACCCCCACCGATGCCGCGGGATCTCAATCGCAGAACCCTGCCACCGATGCATCCAAACCATCGCCTGTGCTTATGGGTAAACCGAGCATCGAATTCATCGACTGCATGCGACGTCTACAGGCAAATCTGGCGTATCTAGCCACAGTTGCCGACAGGGGAAAGAAGTCGGGAGCCGCAGTACCCCTGGCCCCCGCGATCATGACACCGCCGCCAAATGTCCCGTCTGTTACTGAGTTGTATGGCAAGCTAAACGAGCTCTTTGCCGGGGCGGGCAAGCAGGGTGGTGGTCCCTCTACGCCTCAGCAACAACACCAGCTGCAGCAGCAACGACAATACCAGTCTGTGCAGCAGTCACCTCAGGGTAATGGAGCTATGGTTCGCAGTTCACCAGCGGAGACGGCTGGATGAGTGGTTACTCGGTCGTCTGTGGATATGGTTTGATTAATTTTCTGCTCTGCACACTTCCGAGCGGGCTATGATGACAACTCCCATCAAAAATGAAATTCGGGGGCCAAAAACGGTGTATGCTGGTTCCATCGTTTGCCAAACTCAGGCGTAATGCAATATATACGTGTGGAAATCTTTCTACCTGGCTCTTGATGGCGTGAGCGACATATTGCGCTGGACCCTACGGCAGCCCCCCGTCGCTCTTAAAACAGGCAATCCGGTTTAGCCCCCCATCAAATCGATATCTTGGGGTGTGGCTGTAGGAGAACTTTGCTAGGAGAGATATACGAGAACACCTTCCAAGGCAATGATGGGTCTTTTTTTTTTTTTTTTTTTTTTTTTTTTTTTTTTTTTTGGGTGTGTGTGTCCCATCCAAACTGCTCTCCACTCCAGGAACAGCAATGGTCCTCTGAATTTCAGATTTAACCGCCGTGTCCGGTGATTGGGGATGACACATGTGTTTGGCCCACTGGTCGCGACAAAGGAAACGGGCACACACCCTGGATTCGACGGGCGTGTAGGGTTGACCTTGCGGAGGGATGGATGGACATGTCATTATTGTCTGACATGATTACTAGTTACTACATGTTTATCATAGACGACACCATTCATGTATATGCATATATACATGTATATATATTACCAGCGCTTGTATTCCAAGGTTATACGTGTATGTATGGTCCTCCGAAAACATTTCTAGGGGCTGCTCTGTTTGCTTGGTTCCCTTCTCCCCTTATTCAGCTCTGACTCCTTTTTGTTTTGCCTGTACCTATTGTTTTGAAGACCTCCTGTGGGAGCTCCTTTTCTGGATCTAGCGGTAATATGGGGAGCTAGGAGCTGGGAATTATTGCAGTTGGATAAACCGGATAAGAAATATGAAAAGACAAAGCCAAAATCTGGTCGTTCCAATTTCCAAACCTTCGTCGAGAGGTGGTAGAGTGACCGGTTCATAGTTGGAGAAGTGCTGAATCCTCTCTTTTTAGATACTGTCCAGGAACAGAAACGAGTTACCACGTCCTTCATGTATGCCTAGGTGATCGAAATCCAACGTCCATCTACCTCTGGATACACATTCTCCTCATGTTTTAGAACCTTCCATGGATTGTTTACTCCGTATACCAAGGCGAAATGCCATTCAGCCAAGTGTAATAATCGATTATGTTAATTCTAACTCTCCCAACCTTGAAGAAACTTCACAGCCTCTTCTCCTGCCGATCGCCCTTAGAAGCGCCGTCAACCGCTGGTGGCAGTGCTGCTCAAACAAGACAAACACGCCAAACACGCCAAACATCTTTTCTCAACCCTTCTCTGCCTAACTCAGCCAGATAAAACCGAACGAACATGAACGACATCCGCTATAGCAAAGCAGATGCAACCGTATTCCAGCCATATCCAGACATTATCACGATATCTTCATATTCTTTGCATTTATAGCCCCCGCTTCAGCTAGCCCTCGTCTATTTATTTTGAAACCGTGTGCTGTATATATCCGCGGTGTTGTCCCATCCCCTCGTTAACCGGGGAAATTATCAATACACAAATAACCACAGCTCTCAGCCTCGTACCTCACTCTCTTCATCCACAATTTCCTGTGACGCTTGCTTTTCGTCCTCTCGTTTAGACTTGGTCAATTCCTCCAATTCCAGATTCCCGCGGAGTCTATACCCACCCATGGTACCCTTCGCCTGCCAAAACTCCCGTATTTACAAAACAGTTCTACAGTCAACAAAAGCTCTATCAATCGTTTCCTCTACTTTCCCTTTCCTCCCTATATCACTCGACTCCAGCTTTGCGCTCCATAAACATGAGCTCCAAACGCAAACACAGCAGTGGACCCGTCTCACTGCGCTCCGCAAAACACCTCCGTCCCGATACCTCTTCCCCACAGCCATTGACCCCGGACGACCAAGCGTTGGGCAAAGAGGCCGTCTATGTCCTGGAAAATAAAAACGAGGATATCTCCCACATCCTCCCGCTTGCTCCTCCTGCTGCTCAGACAGATTCTCCGGAATGGCAGGCTACTATCGAAACTGTCGTGCGGAGCGTTGTCTCCATCCATTTCTGTCAGACGGCCTCGTTTGATACGGATCTGTCTTCGTCGAGTCAGGCAACGGGGTTTGTGGTTGATGCGGAGAGGGGTTATATCTTGACCAATAGACATGTGGTTTGCGCCGGGCCGTTTTGGGGATATTGTATTTTTGATAATCATGAAGAGGTATGTTTACCCCCTCTTTTCTCTCTCCAGGGGATAACATATGCTGATAGGCCTGGGTTTTTAATTTGTAGTGTGATGTTCTACCAGTTTATAGAGATCCCGTCCACGATTTTGGCATTTTGAAGTTCGATCCCGCCGCGATTAAATATATGCCCGTCACCCAATTAGAACTGTCGCCGGACGCCGCAAGAGTTGGTGTCGAGATAAGAGTCGTGGGAAACGATGCCGGTGAGAAATTGAGTATTCTTTCTGGTGTTATCAGTCGTCTCGACCGGAATGCGCCAGAGTACGGTGAAGGGTATAGTGATTTCAACACCAATTATATCCAAGCCGCAGCTGCGGCTAGTGGTGGCAGTTCCGGTAGTCCCGTCGTGAATATAGATGGCCATGCCATTGCGTTACAGGCTGGTGGCCGTGTTGATGGCGCCGCAACGGATTACTTTTTACCTCTCGACCGTCCACTGCGAGCTCTGGAGTGCATACGTGCAGGCGTGCCGGTTACGCGAGGTACAATCCAGACTCAGTGGATCATCAAACCATTTGATGAGTGCCGTCGGCTTGGTCTTTCTCCTAAATGGGAAGCCGCAGTTAGACAATACTCCCCCAAGGAAACTGGGATGCTTGTTGTGGAAATCGTTCTACCAGAAGGCCCCGGTGATGGTAAACTTGAGGAGGGAGATGTGTTGATCAAAGTTAATGGCGAGCTTCTTACTCAGTTTGTAAAGCTGGATGCGATATTGGATTCGAGTGTGGGGAAAGACGTCAGCCTTCTTGTGCAGCGGGGAGGAGAGGATTTGGAGGTCTCGTGTTCCGTTGGAGACCTTCATAAAATCACCCCTGACCGCTACGTCACTGTTGCTGGCGCCACTTTTCACAACCTCTCTTACCAGCAGGCGAGGCTGTATGCTATCGCCTGTAAGGGGGTGTATATCTGTGAAGCTGCTGGTTCGTTTAAACTTGAGAACACCTTTTCGGGTTGGATAGTTGATGCAGTAGACAAGCGGCCCACGAGAAATTTGGATGAATTTATTGAAGTATTAAAAACAATTCCAGGTAAGCGATTTATTAATTTCCTTTAGATTTACTATTGTGTTGACTAACACTATCGGATTAGATCGCGCAAGAGTAACCCTTTCATATAGACATATTCGAGACTTGCATACTAGAGGAACAAGTATCATACATATCGACCGCCATTGGCATCCCCATATGAAACTTGCTGTCCGGAATGATAAGACAGGTTTATGGGATTTCACAAATATCGCGGAGCCGATTCCCGCTGAACCACCAGTCCCCCGGAAAGCGGACTTCATTCAGCTCGATGGTACCAACCATCCTGCAGCAGCTAATATCGTCCACAGCTTCGTTCGTGTTTCCTGCACAATGCCAGTGAAACTTGACGGGTTCCCACAAGCGCGGAAAGCTGGATTCGGCCTCGTGGTCGACGCAGAGAAAGGTCTGGTTCTTGTTTCCAGAGCTATCGTCCCCTTTGATCTCTGCGACATCAACGTCACCGTCGCAGACTCCATCATCGTTATGGCAAAAGTTATCTTCCTGCACCCACTACAAAACTTTACGATCATCCAATACGACCGAAGTCTGGTGCAGGCACCAGTCAAGACAGCGAAGCTTAGCACTACTTACATCAAGCAAGGTTCTGACACCATTTTTGTTGGCTTCAATCAAAATTTCCGCATTGTTGTGGCCAAAACGGTCGTTACTGATATTACCACTGTCGCCATAACACCCAACACTGCTGCACCGCGCTACCGCGCTCTCAACCTTGACGCAATCACTGTGGACACGGGCCTAAGCAGCCAGTGCTCCAACGGCGTGCTAATCGGGGAAGACGGCGTCGTGCAAGCCCTCTGGCTTAACTACCTAGGAGAACGCACCACAAACTCCCACAAGGATGTCGAATACCACCTAGGTCTTGCGACCCCTTCCGTTCTCCCGATCATCAAACAAATCCAAGACGGAACCATACCCAAGCTCCGCATTATGGATATGGAGACCTACGTTATCCAAATGAGCCAGGCCCGCATCATGGGCGTGTCGGAAGAGTGGATCGAGAAGGTCGCTATCGCCAACCCAGCGCGTCATGAGTTATTCATGGTGCGGAAAGTGGACTGTGCTTCCCCTTTATCAAAAGATAAGCGCCAGCTTCGAGAGGCCGATATCATTCTCACCCTCAACGATAAACTGATCACGCGCGTCTCTGAGTTTGATATCATGTATCACCACAAAACGCTCGATGCGCTCATTGTGCGCAATGGCAAGGAAATGCGCATTAAGATCATGACAGTACCTACTGAGGACCTCGAGACAGATCGCGCCTTGATTTTCTGTGGCGCCGTGCTGCAGAAGCCGCATCATGCTGTTCGACAGCAGATTTCCAAGTTGCATAGCGAGGTCTATGTTAGCGCACGGGTATGTAACAATTGCTCATGTCTGATGTATTAAATATGCAAAAGCCAAATATGCTGACCCATACACGTTACAGAGCCGCGGTTCCCCTGCCTACCAATACGGCCTCTCACCGACGAACTTCATTACAGCCGTCAATGGTGTCAAAACTCCAGATCTCGACTCGTTCATCAAAGAGGTCAACACCATCCCGAACAATACATACTTCCGTATCCGCGCCGTCACCTTCGACAATGTCCCCTGGGTCATCACAATGAAGAAGAACGATCATTATGTAAGTTCTAATGAGCCATTCTTCGTTTTCATTTTTCTGCCACTTCCCATTCCCTTTCCCGTTGCTTCTGTTTCAAATTTTCCGGGTTCAAAGTGTTCTAATGCAACACGCAGTTCCCCATGTCTGAATATGTCAAAGACCCCTCAGCCCCCGAGGGATGGCGGGCTGTTTCTCACGATAAAGAGCCGCGACGCTCCGACATGGATAACCTCAATGCAGACGCGATGGATGAGGAGCCTGATGAGGCGATGAGCGATGCGGAGCCGGATCAGGCGAGTGGGGATGACTAAATATACATTGGCTGATTGTCTTGGAGAATTATCCCGTTTTCCCCTGACACTCGCTCGCCCACCCTCTGTTCATTGTTTTGGATATGTTTATGAGGTGAGTAGTAGAATTAAATTTTGAACATGCCTTCTTCGTCCCCTTTTGAGATTTGGGATCTGCATGGCTTGGAGTGAAGGCGTGGTGTATTCTATCTTTCTTATGTTGGCTGCACAAATAAAAGACTATATATTATTTTCTCTTGACAAAGTAATTTATATGTATTTTTGTGGTACTTAACTATTTTCCTTATTTTTGGGGCTTGGGCTTTCAACATCCGAAGGGCTCATAACGTTGACTGTGCAGATAAGTGGAAAATAGGTAACAGTTGGGAATATTTTCCTGATATTTTGAGAAAGAGAACAGCACAAAGAAAGACATAGACATAGAAATGATGTCCATGAAAGTTTCGAGGCAAATATATTGGCAATAGAATACCTTCCCCTATCTCAAGGCTATCGAGCTTATACAGAGAGAATAGAACAAAAGTAACCTCTATCTAGCCCATGGGTATATAAATCATCAAACCCAACGGAGGGGGAAAATGTGAGATTACCTAGGTAGAGGCATATTTGAAAAATAATAATAATAAGAGAGAGAGAGATAGAGAGAGAGAGAGGGAGGAAATGAAAAAATGAAGATCATGCAACTCAAAATTCACACAAAACTGGAGGTATCTAAATATACGATCTTCCCTTTTTCAACCTCCCAACGGATGTATCCCCTTCCGTCACAAATGAAATATGTCCCACTTGCTCCGCGGCCCGCACGTCACCCAGCATCACCCTAACATCCTTCAGCAGGCGTGCCCGCGCTAAGCCATCCTGAGCAGACGCCGCAGATACTGGGGCGTGCGGGTTATCTCTAGTGTACGATGAGACATAGCCCAGGATATCTGGAGCGAGCATGATGCGCTTCAGAGCGAAACTGGCCAGCGCGAGGATCTGCAGCATGATGGATATCACGAGGAACACCGCAAACCAGGCGCGGCTGTATCTGTACACCTCGCCAACGTACTTGACGCCCTTGGCTTCCGTGGGCACAAAACAGTACATCGGGGGCATCACTCTGCTGCAGTTACTTAGGCTTTCGTAGACGGCCGCGTTTGTCGGGAGATGTGTCCCACGATACATCTTCGCGAAGCTGGCTTGCCAGAAGGTATTAAAGGCTATCTCCAGTCGTTCGGAGAGGACCCGAGGCTCAAGCTTCCAGAGATCCATGTCGATTCTACCGCCCTGGAACATAAGGGAGGAGTCATTCATCCAGCGCTCGGTAAGGGTGGCGGAGTAGAGATGCTTTGTCGAGCGCTCGCGGTCCGTAATAGTGGGCAAGATGTTAAAGGAGTTGTTTATGTATAGGGTTAAATCTGTGATGACGTTGACTCGTGTTGAAGGACGCATTGCTATTACCAGGCATGACTCTGCCTTGCATTCGATTTGTGAATCGACGGCCAGGTTTCCAAGGGTGCAGTTCGCGAGACCCCATGTATGATTATCGCCAATTTTGGTTCTTGACCCGAACATGAACTTGGGACGGGAAGATGGGTCGCCGCCCACCTCATCCGTCATATCTGGAAGTTGGTTTGCAAGATAAAATATCATGGAGTGGCCCGGTCCGCTACTAGCGTTGACCACATTATACGACAAAGTAGCGAGGTCTGCTTTTTTTGCAAGAATATTGTTGGCGCATTGGACGTCAAAGTAATGTGATGTCACGGTGAATGTCGTGTTACCTTCCGACAAAGGCTTTCCAACTGGAAGACCAAGAAGTGAGGTGAACTTAACAGTGGAATTCCAGTCTACCATCCGCCAGTCGTCAGGGCTCTTGCCAGCCTTCAACGAACTTATGTCAGGAATTTTGACGTTCCCCCAATTATCCATGCCAGCGGATGCTGTAGTTTCAAAGCTCATCAACGACGACGTGTAAATAGATGTGATCAAATCTCCAGCACTGTTCATGGCGCTGGCGCCTACCAAGTCGGAATCCAGGATCGATGTAGGGGATAAGTACCAATTGGTAGAATTGTACTGAGCCTCTTTCAACGTAGTGCTCAGGAGCCGTAGCCCAGCCTGACCTCCGATAGGGGATAGCGCCCAGATAGCCATAATCATCAGCCCAACGTACCCAAAATCCCGTAGCAACATCTGCCTCTCGAAGGAGGAAAAGAAGGAGTGGCTTCCGATTAGTTGCTCCAGTGTCTGTAGATCAATTTCTTTTTGTAAGCATTGATCGAATTATGGGATTATATAATATGAATAGGTCATACCCCCAATCGGATTCCTCTCTCCGCCCTGTAGGTGCCATATATTCGGAAGAAATAGCCCACCATCGCCGCGAATACGATCGGGAACATGGTGGGAATCAAAGTCGTGGCTACGCGTATTCGGTCACCTCGTTTACCCCTCTCATCTCCGTCCAATGAAGCTGCCAGAAGGGCGATTGCTGTTTCTTATCGTTAACCAGGTCCAACGAAAATGGAGCAGAGTTTTCAGATTTGAAGCTTTAGAAACAGAGTGTGAATGGAAGGAAGAGGGAGAGGAGTTGAAGGGTTCGATAAGATAGAAAAGGACGAACCAATAAAGGCAATTGGTACAACAGCCAACAAAAATTCCCATATCGAGCTCATAATCAGATAGCTCTGTGCTTTGCTAAGGGTCAACGCATTCTGGCTTGAGATCCTTTCACCACCCCCGCGTACTGGACTGGTAAGAGAATTGTGCGAGCCATTATTGCCCGGGCCCACATGTGTATGGATTCCAGAAAGGGCGATGACATCCCCGGAAAGTTGAGGTGAACTACCGTTGACAACGTTTGTATATAATGGCATTTCAACTTTTCGCAGTCTGCCAGCTTCAATTTTGACTGCCAACACATTGCGCTGGAGTTTTAGATAGGCAAGCAAAGTTGAATAACAATCATCGCCGTCATAGAGGATCCCGTCACAGGGGTGATGCGCTAGTTTATATAAGAACGTCCTGGAGGGGGATTCTATCTGGCAGCAGTTAATATGCTGCAAGGACACCCTGTTCTCACACGCACTAAGCACGGTATTGTTGGCGTCCCGAACTAATTCAGCTGTTCAATCTGTATCACCCTCCACATTTGGGGGCTGGATAACTTGAACTATCGACATGCGGAACTGCGCTGGCCAATGAGCAGGGCCTACTCAATGCTTGGTGGATCCTTTATTTGGCATGTTCTGTGCAGACAATCAGGGGTAAGGCTGGGGCTGAGTTCAAGGTGATGACAGCTAGATATCCAGCCTCGACAAGCCATTGTCACTTGCCGTTGGATCGTCGCCTGTCGTTTGTAACTGAGGTTGTTCTGCTAAAGATCTCACTATATTTGATTTCACGAACACCCCAGCACTGTGGAAAAGTGATGCCCGGGAGGCATGTCGTTAAAGAGTTTAGATTTCGGCATGTTTCGTGCAATTTTTATCCATTGGGCCTGGTGCACAGTCACTAACTATGCTGGGCCAAGTCGGAAGATAAAATATAACTAAAATCTCACTCCCAACTTTCATTCAAGCAATCCTCCTGTTCTTGCACGGAAGTACTCGGCAAGCCGCAGAGAAACTTCTCACGCACCTCTGCGCTATCTTGAAGATCTTTACTGATATTGACGTACCAGTGTTTTCTTCCCTAGGCTTTTTCAGATAATGTATGGCAAAAAGAAAACAAATAAATAAATAAATAAAAAGTAAAAATAAAAATAACAGAATCCTCTGAAGATACATACAAGATGCCAAATGCGCTTGTCAAAAACATATGCTACTGATTCTCCTGTTCAGTCAGACCCTTGGCGTAGTTAATCGAGAATTATCCAAAACTAAAAGGCAACTCGAAAAGCTAGAACTCCGACAAAACCAACTAAATAAAAGCCTGCAATGTTACTTTACTTCTAAAGAACCATGAAAACGAAACTAGGGGGAAACTGTTAAACACGACATGAAGGCAGAAACCAGAAAAGAAATGATGAGCCTGTCCGCCACCTCTTCGTGGAGAGGGGAGCACCAAAAGAAGACCAACACTCAAATCACCCACACTCTAAAATAAAACCTTCCTGAATATCTAAACAAATAATTGAGCTAACCGACAAATATATATAATGCTCTTCAAAACAAAATCAAACACGGGATCGTAGCGTATACAAAACATAATTCAAAAAACCCACCATTTGTAAAAAGAAGTTCCCAGAGCAGTTTGCCGTAACTCTTCCCCACGACAAATCCATCGTCCCCATAAACCCAGATTCCATGTATGCATAACGAGTAATGAGAAATCTAGGCGACCACCGCCGTAACCGTAAGAAAAAAAATAATAAATAACCCTCTATGGCGCGAACGTCCATCCACCATTCTTCTTCAGCCGTTCCCTCTGCTCGATATCCCACTTAATTTCAGCCTGCGTCAAACCGTCCGGACCACCCCAGTTAGCACTACTAGTCCGATCGCGGAACCGTTTCAAACGGTCCTTGTTATCCTTGAAGATCTCCTCCATATGCAGCGGCGCAGATGGCCCAAACACTTGGGCTCCATCCTGCCCTTCCTGGCTAATGAGGATGTTAGTTAGGTTTTCGGGTTTAGCCCAGTCGGGAACATTGTAGGGTTCCGCATCCGAGTCCTCGTCTTCGCTGTCTGTAAGTATTTCAGGAAGTTTTATGCTGTCGCCGTTGGGATAGGCAGGGGAAGATTTGAGGGATATCTGGGGTTTCTGGGAGCCCTGCCCGGGTGTCTTGTGGGACATGGCGTGTGGTGGGTTTGAGTTATCGGCAAACGGGATTTTGCCGCTGGCAAACTTAGACATTTCCAACGGGTGACCGTTTCTATGCGGCTGTTGCTGTATTGGCACAGCACCCTGGGGGGCGCGGGAAGCTGGAGGGTTCTTGAAAATGGCTTGGCCGCCCTGGTTGTACATCTGAAGCTTTGAAACCTCCTATCCAATGTCAGAACAATCTATATTTTGAAAGGAAACCACGTACCTTGCGGACATTAGATTGGCGGATCGGAGGTGCCATTGCCGGTCGAACTGGCGGTTCAGCAATTACACTCTCATCATCTGTCTTCCGTCGTTTGCCATCCGCCTGGTGCACAGCTGCTCCGACTTTCCCGGTAACTGGACGCCCTGAACTTTCATCTTCTAATACTCTCTTCGGAGGCTTGGCGGGATTGGGATGTGGGTAGTTCATTGGTCGAGCTTGCCCTTGCACACTATTTAGTCTTGGACCTTTTAAGGATGATATATCTTTCCGCTGGTTCCCATGCAATCCGGATTTTTCTTGATGAATGGTGGAGCCCTGTAAAACCCTTCCAATTAGCAATCATAGAGCGAAGGACGATGAGAAAATCAAACCCACCAGATCATTGGCAGGTGTTGGCTGCTGGTTGCGCTGCTGCTCCAATTTCCTTGCATTCTCTAGTCGCCGCTTTTCGATTGCTTGTTTGTGGGCAAGTTTTTTCGGATCTTCTGGTACCGATCGCTCCCGTTCCCGTCGGTCAGCCTCAGCCCAACCAGTCTGTTCTTGTCGACGCGCTTCTTCCTGTTGTTGGGCTACCCGCATGCGTTCGGCTTCCCGACGCTGTTCTAACTTTCGTTGGGCTTCACGCTGCTCCTGGAGGATCTCAATTAGCGGCTATCAGGCATCAAAATTTGCTAGTTACTTGCCTCTTTTTTCTCGGAAGCCTGGGCAGCTTTCGATTTCGAGTTTATCATAGAAGTGGAACTCTTGAAGCTACTGGTAGACGAATTCGCATGAATTGACGGTTGGCTTCCTTTTTTATTAACAGCCGACAAGAGTGCCTTTGGGGCTGGAGGCGGGCCCGGAGTTGCATCTGGGGCAATGGACGAGAGAGAGGAATTGGTCAATGGAATGCGCTGAGAAAGAGTTCCAACACGAATAGACACAGGCTGCGGTTTTGGTTTCTGGGCTTCTCTAGTAGGCCTCAATGGCCGCCGGCTTTCATTCTGTTTAGGATGATGCTGGGGCTTCGCAGGAACAGCAAATTTATGCTCCTCTTCCTGGGTTTGTTCGGCTTCACGTAAAGACTGCTGCGTTGGAGGTCTTCTGGGACTAGATTTCATCGCATGGGTCGCTGGGGTTGCCACAGTCTCTTCAGATTTTGGAAGTGCTTGGTGTTGCGACACATCCTTGATCATGGTTGTCTTTTGTTGCCTCTCCTGCTCCCTAGCTTTTTGCAATTGTTCCTCAATGCGCTCCATATCCTGGCGCTCTTTCTCCTTTCGCTTCTCCTCCCTCTCTGTAGAACTTCGCGTCCGTCGACCTTCCTGGAATATAGGGCTTTGGATAGCAGCAGGCTGTGGGGCTTGTGTGAAATTCTCTTGAAGATTTGGGTAGAGGTTAGCTTGTGTACGGATTGGGGTAGGAGAGAATGTTTCCATTTTTGCAGCTGCAGAAACACCGGCGCTGCTTGTAAATAAACTTTTTGCGGTTTTCATGATGGATTGTAGTTTAGATTTGGAGGCACTTAGAGGACCATCATCCCTTCTTGGAGAGGAGACAGGCGTAAGAGATGCCCGGTTGGATGTGGCTCTCTGAAGGCCGATAGTGTTGGCCCTTGGAGAAGTAATTACCGAAGTTGAAGCCGATTTTGTGTGGTAAATGCCAGAGATGCCAACAGGCTTCAAGCCAGGAGAACGTCTCTCCGGCGATTTACTATACATAATCCTGGATATCCTCTCCTCTTGAGTTTGGACACGGGGAAGTTGCTGTGGAGATTCCGCTATTGGCTCTCCTGCGGACTGTGGCTGCTGAAAATGCTGCGGTGATCTTGGTGGTGCTGTTCGGTTATCGCATACTTGAGGCTCTACGGGTGATGGCTTTCTTGGTTTATCGGCAACAGGATCAACCTGTGACAATAACTCGGGATATGACACTTGAGAAGGAGCAATGGGAGCAGGGGCTGGAATCGATTTGGTATTCCTTGAGGGCTGTGACTTGCCGAGCATGTTGATCTTCTCGTGCAGGAGCTGCGTGGATGACTTATGATGAAGATTTGTAGCCTTTGTACCGAGATCGGATTCATCAGGCAGAAAAGCAGGAGCACGTTCTTCCTCAGGCGTCGTGTTGTCCCCAGTATTCCCTCGTTTGTCTTGTTCCTCCGGTGAAATTTGGGTAATTCTTGCACCGCCAGTTTGGCGTCCAAAATAACCTCCTGGAATTGATTTGGAGGGATCAATATGGCTGATTCTAGACATTCTAGCTCCTCCTATGCTTCGTTTTGTTGTCAGTGGCTCCCGAGCCGGTAGGGACGCGAAGCTCAAGCTACTTTTACGAACAGGAGGGCGGTCTGGAGTTGAGCCATCAGAAGGCGATCCAATATCATCAAAGTTATGATCAAGGGCGGCATCGTGTACGTCAGAATCTGGCTCAATTGTGTTGGCTGTTTCAGGTGGTGCGAAATCAAATATTGCTGGTAGTTGGACTGACTCCTGGGATGGCTGCGGAGACGCGCTGAGAGGTTGCTTAGAAACAGAAATTGGTGGAGATTTACAATCATCAGTCTCCAATGGTTCCACTGTGCTGCTCTCTTTACTTGGCACAACTTCTCTAGCTGAGTGAAAAGAAGCATCGGTTGTACGCCGGTCAACGGATGGACTGATATCATTGCGGTCGCGAGGGACTACAATGGTTGAGTCTTCCAGAGGCTGAGCAGCGGTTTCTAGTTCGAACTCCGGATCCCGCTCTGGTTCCGGTGATCTCTCTGGTTCTAACGCTGCTTCCGGCTTTGTTTCTTCTCCCTTCGGTTCTTGTTCAGTAGTACTCCCGGGTTCTTTCTGTGGTTGTGAATAGACCAAATCCATTTCATCATCATCTGCGATTTCATCCTCGTGAGCCATGTCATGATACCCGGAGTGATATCCCGAGTCTGCGATGGAATTAAGGATTGGATTTTGAATTTGCACTGGCGATGAGTACTTTGGATGTTCATTGGGAGATGGTTTGCGAGATAATTTCGCGATTTCCTGATTAAATCTGCTGGGGGGCCCAGAACTGTTCCGCACATTCTGTCCTGCCGCAAATATATCGCTCAAGGGCTACGGAGGGGTCAGCAACTGAATAACATAATAACACACCCCCCACAGATGTGTCGCACACTGCATAAGCAGGTAGTCATATGACGAAGGGGATACTTACAACCCGGCCTTCTCGTGGGGTCTGATGCTTCCTTACAGTTCGTGGAGTCTTCCCTCGTAACTTTCCTGGGGTCTTAAAAATCTCCGTGACGTTGCTATCCACGCTAGTTAGCCGTTGTGTGTTGGCACATTCAAATATATATATATATATATATGTATGTATGTATATATGTCCGCGATCAATCATGATTTTTGGGAGGGGGAGGTGGTTGGATTGTATAGAGTCGTACAGTTGGCTCCTATTGAAGATCTCGGCCATGTGCTCGTTCAACCAATCCATCTCATGCTGGGCGGGATACTCGATTTCCTCCATTTCCAGGGAGACCAGAAGATCTATATTCTCCCTCTCGGTGGCAATCCAAGCAGACGAGCCCACGGCCCTCCGCGCCTTCGTGCCTGTAGAGGCCATTTTTCGATGTAAACAACGCGACTTTAACGGATGTATGGTGGACGCGTCGAGCCTCTAACCAAGTGCTGAAATCGGACTCTACTAGGCCAAATAGCCTATTGTAGAGGGGGAGGTACCTGGAGCAGCTAACTGTAATTGCATTGGTGAAGCATTGGATGTTGCGGGGGTTTGATCTGGTGGTTGATTGTTGTCGTTGATGTTGTTGATGTTGGATGTTCCCAGAGAGAGAGCCGCCACCAAAAATAGACTTCCAGCTGACTAAGCCCTCGGAACCGCGCTAACTAATAACCAGTTAACCAAGGCAGGGGACGTACCGCGCTCCTCGGAAACTCTAACCCTAACCCTAAGCATTGGCTTCGGCTGAACTCCGCGAGCAACTGGAAGATCCCGAGATTTGTTGATCTGTTGTTAGATACGGTATATAAAACGCGTGGATCCTCGAATTCTTCCTCCAGCCATTCGGGCATCATCCAGCACCCACTGAGCTCCATTGGCCTCCACCTGGTGTTTGTAACCAGGGCACGTTAGACTAATTTCGACCTGCGCATGAATATAACTGAAGCTTATGCTCGCTCCCTCTCTTCGGAACATGCCCGAATCGGCATAACGTTTGGTATCTGATGCTCTCGGGAGTATCTCTATTTAACCACCCAGAGCTGCTGCGTGTATATATGATATATTACCCACATGTAGCTTATAACTAACCGGTGAACTGCCTATTTACTCGGGGGGGTTTTTTTTTTTCTTTCTTTTTTTCGTGGCGGTTGCCATCCTACTCCATTGTCTAAAAAAGAAGATATATAACTCTGTAGAGAGGTGTCCCAGCTCCAACCAAGTTAATTAACTGATTGAGTGTCGCTATTTTCTTCTTATTTGTCTGCTCTTCTTCTCTATACATTATTGGGTTCAGCAAATAACATGACGTCGCGTCTCTTCTACCGCTCCCTATTGGGCCACATCCATCGACAAATACCCAAACATTCTCGAACTGCGGTCCGGCAATGTGTGCAAGAAAGATCATTCTCCGCCTCCCCATCAAGTAGAATAATGGAATTGAACTGCTTTTCACAAAATCAACTGATGGTCCGAGATGCCATCGCGAAGATATGCTCTACTTTTCCTGATGTGCGTTGTCTTACTTTTCTTGCTTATCATTTAACCCTTTGGCAAATATATATGTCTTTGGGGAAAATTAAACACCCAAATTAACACAAATTTCTACAGGAGTATTGGGCTGAGCGTGACGAGTCGGGGGAATATCCCCACGAGCTACACGCGGCACTGGCAAAGGATGGCTGGATTGGAATCGCCCTCCCTGAAGAACTGGGAGGTGCCGGCCTCGGCATATCAGAAGCCACAATGATGCTGCAGACGATTGCGCAGTATGTTGATGTTTAGTTTTATCACTGTTGATTTTAAGTATCAGCAACACACTGGAACAAGGTTTTTTCTAATAAAATCAGGAGCGGTGCTGGCCTTGCTGGCGCGCAATCAATACATGCCAATGTCTATGCTACTCAGGTATTTACATACCGCTGCCATGCTCATCCTCCACTTGGTAGTTGATGCTAACAAGAGTCACCTTTGTCTAGCCAATTGCCAAATTTGCCACCGCCGAACAAAGACAGCGTATGCTGCCCAAGTTGATTGTTGGAGAATACCGAATTTGCTTTGGCGTGTGAGAAACAAATATCCATCCAAAAAAACTTAAAGGCAAAATTTTCGTTGCAAAACAGCCTGACCATGAAAACAAATATCAGAACGGAGCCAAACACCGGGCTCGATACTTTGAAACTCCGAACGGAGGCAATTAAGGACGGTGACTCGTACAGAGTCTCCGGACAGAAAATGTATGATGAACCACTCAGCGGCCAAACTAACTCTCCATATCAACCCCTCTCCCTTCTCCCCACACGTCCCGACAGAATCCAAAAAAATAAAAAAACAGATAAAAAAAAAAAAAAAAAGCTAAACTAAATCCCCCATTCAGATGGATATCCTCCGCCCAAGTCGCCAAACGGATGGTCCTGCTTGCCCGCACCACACCTCTAGAGCAAGTCAAGAAACCATCCGAGGGCCTGTCACTCTTCTTCATAGACTTTGACAAAGATGCTCCCGGCCTGGACCTGCGCAAGATCAAAAAGATGGGCGGCCGCGCCGTCGACGCCAACGAGGTTTTCTTCGATAACTACCGCATCACCGCAGATACCTTAATTGGCAACGAGGGTGACGGATTTAAAATCGTAAGCCTTTTCCTTTCTTTCCCTTGCACGTGGATACTATTCTATCCACACGTACCCCTACGACACAAAATCTAACTGTCTCGTTCCCCTTTCGTCCTCGTTTCCCGTTGCTTCCAGGTTCTATACGGCATGAACGCAGAACGCTGTCTTCTGGCTGGTGAAGCATTGGGCCTCGGGTACATTGCGCTTGAAAAAGCAGCCAAATACGCCAAGGAGCGCGTTGTCTTTGGACGGCCCATCGGGCAGAACCAGGGCATCGCACACCCGCTCGCGGACGCCTATATGAAACTCGAGGCGGCCAAGCTGGCCACGTACCATGCTACGAAACTGTATGACGCGAGCAGGACGGATCCAACCATTACGCAGAAGGCAGTTGGAGTTGCCTGTAATTCCGCTAAGTATTTGGCTGCTGAGGCGGCTTTTACGGCATGTGAGAGGGCAGTGAGTATAATTGCATTTGACAAAGCTATTCCTATTTTTATTTATTTTATTTATTTATTTATTTACTTATTTTTAACTAACACGGGATTACCTGGTCAGGTTCTTGCGCATGGGGGGATGGGGTACGCACAGGAGTTTCATGTGGAGCGGTATCTGAGGGAATGTTTTGTGCCGCGAATTGCGCCTGTCAGCCGGGTGAGTATTTGCTATTGTCGTGATATGATGAGTTAACTATCTCTTTGGATTTCTATAAGGTAACTAACTGTCTGCTTCAGGAAATGATCATGAACTATGTCAGTGAGAAGGTGCTGGATCTGCCACGCAGCTATTAATTTGCATTTTTCTAAGAATTGGGTTAACTAGCGGAGTAGCACAATGATTTCTGTTCTGTAGATATCCGTTTTTGTCATCTTTACTTACTACATGATTATGTATTTTGTTTATTCCGTTGAAATTGTTGGATGGAATGGAGCTTATTTGTTTTGTTGCCACACGTAACTAGTAACTAACGATAACCGTGTAAAATAGAAATATTTTTCATCATCTTTGTTCATATTGCAGAAACAATTGCCGTATTCTTTCTTGGCTTTGAAATATTGGAAGTGTCGCGTGCAAAGAGGCAGCAGTGTATCTAAAAGTTGTTAAACAACTTGATCATGGAGCAGTCCATAGTAAATATTTGGTTAAATCCTGGAGAGTAAACTTCAGCAGTTCAAGGAAAAATGAATGTATCAGATTAACTGGAATTTGTTTAGATAGTTGTATTCGATACATCTGTAAATCCAAATCTATGCATATTTATTCACTGGTTCTTTTCCCTGTCAGTAGCCAAAGAACCCAAAACTTGCTTTGCTAGCATCTCTTCGGGTTCTGACGTTTCCTTGTCCTTCCACCAAATAACGTCAGCTCTTGAAATATTTATCCGCCAAACAACAACCAAACAACCAAACAACCATCGTCAACAATCAACTTCACTTCTTCACCATCCACCTACATCCAACAGCATCCAGCTGCATTTCACAACTGGTCCATTTGTATCCTCTTCTTTGCCGGTATCCATCTACAATCTCCTCCACCGTCCAGCTATCCACTAAATACTGTACCTGTCAATATTCTCTACCTACATATATCCGTGAAAACCGGATTCTGTCCTCATGGCTAAGGAATCGTCCCTCTTGGGCAGAACACCTCATACAGGTAATTCCAGTCCCTATGCATCCTCTATCTAACTCTCTAGTCGGCGCAGAACTGCCTGTCTTCTTCGTTTGTTGGTTTGTAAATAGTGAGGTGAGTCTCCGTTCAGACGACCCTTTGTCTATTAATCCTTGCTATACAATCAGGAAAACCAAATCACTGACGCTGTGTCCAATATCTCGTATGTAGTCCAACCTCAATTATCCTCTCTTCTTGAATCTGCCGTTATACGGGAACAGCATCCTCACACATCATCTATCTCTCCCTTTAGGATCAAGATTGTTGCTATACATTGTTAAGAAACGTACTCTAACAGAGGTATGGACATAGTATTCTTCTGGAAATCCCGCATATTATATTCCATGCTAATTGCATCTCGCATCGTTATAGACATCTTCCCTCCCGCCATATAGGAACTCTCAAGGGTAAAACCAATGGAGCCGCCGAAACCACCCTTACTGGACAGCCCTTGACTCGTATGTTTTGTGCTAAATCCAAACTACACCTGAAACGGAGAAAATAAGATCGAAAAGAAGGGATCATGAAACACGGGGAAATTAGCTAATGCCAGTAAATTTCCCAGATTATCATTCGCATATCTACAGCCTCTTGAGTGTTAGTTTCGCCCTTTTCCCCATTTCCCAGTCATGAATGCTTTCAAAATGGCTGATAAACAATTCCAGTGGGAACGCCCTCGGGCAACCGCCTTCTCCTTTGCATCCATCATCAGTCTGATTATTGCCGCCCGATACCTCCCTTTGCTGCGATGGATCTTCAAGTTTACTTATCTGTCTCTTGGATGTGAGAGAACCTTCTGAATTTCTCTTCAATAAAGAAGTCATCTAACACCTCAACTTAATATCTAGTCACCGTTGCCCTAGAAATTGTTGGAAAGGTTCTCCTCTCCCGTGGCTTGGCCAGCTCCTCCCGCCCCCGCAAATACTACACTATCCCTAAGGATACCATGGAAAGCATCCTGGAGGACCTCGAGCAGTTGATGGATTTCTTCCTCATTGAGTTCCAGCGCATCCTCTTCGCGGAAAATCTCTCATATACTATTGCTGTAGGTTTCTTTGTCATCACATTTGTCCTTCCACTGTTTCTTAACTAACCTTTTTTTCCTCTTTCGAATCATCAGGCTTTCGCCGCTGCGCTGACCTCCTACTGGCTCGTTCGCTTTCTACCCCTGTGGGGATTGGCCCTTACCATGGTCTCCACAGCTTACTTGGGACCTTTGGTCTACATCAACAACAAGGAGCTCATTGACACCCAGATCAACCGGATTCAGGAAATAGTCAATAACCAAGCGACCCAAGTCAAGGAGATGGCTGGCCAGCAGACCGCTCATGCTACTGATATCGTCAAGCAGTACGTTGGCGACTATCGTGCCAAAGCAAATGAATATATAGGTTCTTCCCGCATCTCCGTCCCCCGCGTCGAGCAAATCTCTCCATCTCCCGTGCAGCCTAAACCTGCTTCAGAGCGTGCTACTGAACCTGTTAAACCTACCGTTAACCCCGTTCCCAAAGCTATATCAAAACAGTTCGAGGATGTGAATTTCCCTGTCGCACCTCGCGAAGAGCCTTTGGTAGATACAACAATTGAGCATGCTGCACCGGAACCAAGGGAGCAGAAAGTGGAGGAACCCCTTCTAGCATAAATTTTCCAAACTAGGGTAACAAATCCCATCCGATTTGCCATGGCATGCCGTTGAACAGAAGGACAAGAAAAGAGAAGGGTCTACGGTCTTGACCCCTTACCATGGTGAGACTTGGGGGTAAAATCCCATTTTGTGCAATTCGTGTTAATATGTTCATGATCAAAAGTTGCTTTGTTGGTTTGTGTTAATGTCAGCTTGTTTTTACCCTCTTTTATATTTATTATTTTTGTCCCTTTCCATATTTTCGCCTTGGGTAAATAGTCAACAACGCATGGCTGTGGTGTTTGGATTTACTGTGGAGGGAACTCAAATCGCCCTTGACTCATTCAAACCCTACTCCAAACCTCCCAATTTCGAATGCTTCCCGTCTCATCCGCTCGAGGTTATCCTTTTGTTTAGTCATAAAATATGCATCCTTCAGTAAGAAGTCTCTCTGGCAATGGTTAAAGAAAGGAGGCAGTGAGAGATTTACAAAAATCAATGGGAAGACGAATGCGATGCAGCAACACATTTATGGGGCAGAATACTGCATAGTTCTTCGTCCTTCTCTCTATGTTCTTTTTAACCCTTTTTAATTATCTGCGGCTGCTTCCTTGCCTGTTGTTTTGCATCATATTTTCCTTTTGGTCTCCGGATTCATGTACTTTTCCTCTTAACACCCTTTCCATTTGCGTGTGTTCTTCATAGCCAGGACCGACTTTTACCATCTTTCTTCGGCATCTTTTCGTAACTTTGTCGCATCGAAATTATTTTAATCGAAATCGGCATGTAGTTTTATTGCTGGTCTGTCTTTCACCCTCCTGCTTGTTTCATTGTTTCCTTGATATCTTCGACCTTATTGATTGATTGTTACAAAAAATTGAACCCCATTTCATTCGACTGTGTGTTTTCTCTTGCAATGGATTTCCCGTTCACTTCATCAATATTTATCCCATATTTTCTCTTAATGTCTCCGCTCCGATGGGGCACGCCCATACCGACATTAACGCTCGCGTTGACGAACATATTACCGCGTTTCATCATCAGCAGCGCTGCGTTCGTCGGTACCGTTTTCGAGACTCTTAGCTTTTGGTTGCCACCAATTTCTAGTAGTTGGGATGACGTTTTATGTCAGTTTGGCGGGAGGGTATACAGGCTTGAATCAGCCGTCATAATTTATTCGGAACATATTAATCTCGTTTGCAAAGGAATATCTTCAGTCAAGTTCTAATTGTTTAGTTCTCTTCTTGGTATTGGGAAGAGGAGATAAACAGAAGCGTTGCTTTCTTTTACCATGACTCTTACTCTTGCTTGATTTCATTTCGGAATTCTTCCGGCCCCTCAAGTTGAAGCCAACTCTCTTCCTGTCTTCCTGCTATTGTCGATTGTTTTCACTTTTATGTGCGGAAAGATTGAATGCACATACATACGTCCCGATGATATGAGAATTGATTGAGAATGACAATGAGCGGCAAATATGCTTATCGACTGATCAGCATTTATGTCACATTGATTTTTCTTTCCACGCATCTCCTCTCACAACTCTCTCCTGCCTACGGATTTTGTTTCCTTAATTCAATCATATTTTAATATTACAATCTGCCGTGATTTTTCATGTGATACTAGCATTTTCACTTCTTGTTGTGCATCGTCAACCATCGCCAACTCCTTCGCATCACTTGCATAGTGTGGTGGGGGTTCCAGCTGCCAACCATGCTCTATCTACTACGTAATAATGCAGATATGCATCATCTCTATACATATCCGTATATGGGTTCTATGTCTATATGCACTTCTATGCAGGTATACCTGCAGGCTTGCCCCACATATCCGCTCGCGCCTAGCTACCATTCACATTTGATACTCATCCATGGCAATGGGAAGTCAAATTCATACGTATATGGCGGCCTCCCGAAGAGAGATTCAGCGAAATGACAACAATATAGAGAATTAAAGGTGAAAGATGGAAAAGTGATATGTATTGAATCTGCACTAGAAACTATCCTCCCTTAATATCCCCTACAAAATAAGCAAACGATCCTTAAAAACAAAGAAAAATGAACGCAGCGTTACACCATGACCAAAAAAAAGTATAAAAAAAAAATAAAAGAAAACCCAAGCAGAAAGAAAGAAAGAGGAAGAAAAGAAAAGAAAAGGAACGTTCTTATCAGAAAAAATTGACCAGCACCTCCGCTCATCTGGATAGCATTAACAGTGAAACGACACGCGCAAGAAACGAAACCAAAACATCAATCACCACCACAGCAAGTTCACATGTGATATAGCACTTTCAACTCTATTCTGCACCCCGTACACCCTCTTGCCCTCCATCACGTTCTCCCAACTGGTAATGTTTCAGGGGGAAAAAAACATCAATGAATGAAACAACCCCTAGAAAGCCGTAAGTTCTTCATGACCAGATCAAAACCCCTCAACTACGCATTCTCGTGGAAGTCCTATTTCTGTCTAGGCCGAAGCACGCCGCCTCTTCTGGTAGTCCGTGCTCACCACATCCTGCATATGCAGTCTCATAAGCATATACGCAGCCCTTGCATCGTTTGTGAGTGGTAACGGGGAGCTTCGCCGTTTGGCACGATAAGCTTCCTGCTTTTCTTTATCAGAGATATCAAATAATGAACCTCCAAACTCGCGTCTATGTTCGGTTTTGGGGTCAGCTTCAGCGCCGATGTCACGCTCGCCATCCTCATCGTTGCTCTCATTGTCCGTATCATGATGAGAGTCGTCTCGTGTTACTAGCTCCGCAGGCGAGCTGGCTGTTGAAACCTCAGACTTAGGCTCTGTCCCCAGGTCTGCATCTTGATGCATTTTATTTGCCCACTTTGAGCTATTATTCTGTAGGTTGTTAAGAGACGCGAGTATTTCATGGGGGGAGGGTATTTTGCACCGGAAAGTACCAGGAGTCCTAGGTGTGCTCGCTGGAGCGCAGATATTCATTCGCGGCTTTGACGGAGAGAGACACAATGCGTCGCTCGTGTCAGTGTCGATTATATATTCCCTATCCTCTCCAACCCCAGCTCCAAGTCCAACTCCCGCTTCTCGAGCAGGAGCAAGTTTTGGGCGAAGTTTTTTCTTGCTCCATCGGGTTGTGTTCGCAGTTGGCTGCCGGTAAGAGTCAAGGGGATTTTTTCTTGACATGACGTTGCGGCCTTCGAGGAGTCGATATTTTCTTGCCGAATTTGTAGCATCTCTCACAATAGAAGGGTCGATGACCATGCGGCCAAATCTAGAGTCCTCTGGGGGAATGCAAATGGACAGAAACTCAACGCCAAAAAGTGGTGTCAGGGCATAGCGGATTTTCCAGCAGAACGTGGCTGCGACTGCCTTGGCGGCCTCAAATGGCATCCAATACCCTGATGATGATCAGCGCTGCTAATACCAATATGATATAGAGAATTTCCTGACCTTGAGCTGCGAGTGCTCCCCCTGTAATACTATGACAGATTTCACGGAGGCCAGGGTTTGCGTTCAGCATCTTCGCTGGGGCTGTCTGTGAAGGCACCAGCGTGAGTTTTCAAAGAAGCGATAATCCTAAAGATTACGAGTGTACCTTTGAATAGTTATTGCATCTGAAGAGGGAGGTAGTTCGGACCAGACCGATGTTGTAGTCCCACATAACGGTGTACGTCTTCTCGTCACCAGGAACTTTGAACGTGTATTGAAACACTATGACCTGTCAGATCACGTAATAACCTCAAATATTCGTGGGACAAAGGACAACTAGAGTGAGAAATGAGAAGAACAGTGTTCATACCTTCAAAACTTTCCCGCCCAGTCTCCTCCAGAAATGATTTTTTTTCGCTGTTATACGGTATATGCCTCGGATACTCAATTATATGGCCCATGGGGTGAATCTGAAATTCTCTATGCGCTTCTGCAAGCTCTTTACTCTGATGCTCGCATGGAGGATATCTTAACTCCCCCCGTACTCTCCCCCTGGTGAAGACTGCTGCATCCTTCGAAATCTTCTGTTTCTTTTGCCTTGGAGGCGGTGACTGGCGGTAGTCTCTGGCAAACCGACTGGGGCACGGTGTGGGGAGTTGCTGACGATATCTCTCTCGCTTCTCGGGCTCAGGATTGAGGAGGGAAGCGATGGATGCCATGATAATGGAGGAAATACCGAAGCGAAATCGCCGTCTGGATTGAAATAACAAATTTCCGTTTAACCAGGCGGTGTCATGCGTTTCTCTAATGAGATGCTCCCAGACTGAAGAGACAAGATGAGAAATGGCAAGGGAGCTTGGGCCAGTGGCGGGACAACTGTGTAATTTCGAAAGCGAAAGAAAAGCATTGACAAACACTCAAACCACAAGCAAGGACGAGGGAGTAATTTAAAGCTGACTGGATTGGGCTGAAACAAGCAAATGAACTTCTCATCAGAGAATGATAAAAGGAGAGGGCAAACTGATCTGATCAGGAAGACAAGGCATAACGCAGATCGATGCATATAGTACTAAGAAAGCTTGTCGGCTTTTGGCATCATGACAGATGCTGAGAGTAAAGGGGTAAGAGCTCCTTTAGTCTACACCAGGCATATCCGGACCGATCCCTTTGTCAGAGTGTTCCGATTGCCCCCCGGGAGGGGGTTAGGGTTGGTGTCCGGCTGTCTTGTTTAGGCGCTAAACTGGCGGCAGATCTACCTGCTTGTTTGTAGTTGCTAGTAACCACTTAGCTTCCTGACTATATATCGAGGCAGGTTGGGCAAGCGGTGAACAAAATGAATATCCGGGTGTCAGGAAACACAGTGTGCATGTCTCAGAGGTATCACCCGAAAGAGAGTTCAACATCTCGCCTTGTCGCCAAGGGGCTCCTGATGTCGTCTGTTGGAAATAAAGTTCTGCTTCCATCAAACCCTGTAATCCTGTAACTAGCCACCAAATATTCTATCTTCTTCAACCGAGCTGTCTGGGGTCATGCAACACCCTTCCTGCGATCTTTATCGTCGGAGCGATAAAGAAAGAATCAAGACATATTGGTACACAGAAGAGCAGACCCTAATCAAAGGATAAGCATTAGCGTTCGTCCAGGCAAATTGCATCCAAGCTAGCCAGGAATGGGGCGCTCCCCATCGAGGCAAATCCGTTTCACTGACATCCTGCATTTACCCGCAAAACGGGTGAGGAGCGCCACCCATGTATTTCGCAGGTCTCTAGAATCTGGGCGCTTTTCGGGCACCTGTTCCCATGGCCAATGGAGACCTTAAACCTGCTCCAGGACCGCTGGATGGATGCCCTGCTGATATCCCCCGGCTTTTATCAGTGATTCACAAAAGAAAGGCATTGGATGCCCTAGTGATAAGGACGGTCATGAGGAGTAGACAATAAAGAGCAGTCAGGAATATAGCATGGAATGACATGAAGCTTAGAATTAGGGTCCTGCATTCCCCCATGTTTTACCTGTCGAACATTCCTCTCCGTGTTCATTTGATTCTCTATTTTGTTGCCACAGACAGATATTTTCTCGACTCAGACACCCCACCGCCAGAAGGGATGAAGAAGTTTAACCAGCATCACAGGAAGCCCTGTGAAGTTAGTTTAGACCGGATTTCAGAGGCAAGTTTAACCTAACTGAAAAGGTTGAGAATTATATCGGCAAAGTACATTTGGTACAGCTCGTGTTACGGGAAGCCGCTGGCAAGTCAGACTCGCTAGAAAAAGAAAATGGAAAGCTGGGAGAAAAGGAAGAAAGATTATTGGCCAGTGTATCGGAGAATAAACGAGAAGCGTGCGTAAGGATCCACTCAGAGAGCAGCTGTCATTTTGTTTGGGCATCGTATGTGGGGGGAATACACATGGTATCACAGGGAAGCTATATGCCATCCATGGCTTGTTAGAGAAAATCTCAGAATCATTTCTGAAGACTCGGGAAGATGTGGTACTGTCAAGGATATCGTTAATAAACGCCTGCCTGACAGCAATTGTGGGATTGTAATGGCCAACTGCCCAAGGCAGCCACCGAGAGATACCTTTTTTTTTTTTTTTTTTTTACAACTTTTCCTCGCGGACATTGGAACAATAGCTAAGCCAAACAGTTAGACATGCTCTGACAGCCTGATCGATGTTTTCCCCGCTGATAGACGGTAATAGTCAAACACAGCAACCCCTGGAGAAAGGCGGTAGAAGAATTCTTCCCGATCCATGTTGCTGATGCAGCTACCCGTGTGGTTCTTCAGGTACGGATCATCGTCTTAAGATGGCTGCAATAATGACCACTGAGAAGAAGGGCCAAGAAGATCACATAGGTAAATGCAAGTCATTGATTCGTCTCAAAGTTATACCCAGCCCTAACGGCAAACTGGGAGGGGGGGTGAATTGACTTGGTTTTCTTTGAAGCTGCTCTGACAATGTCATTATATTGGTAGGGATATGGGCCAAAGCTGCCGTTGAATGAATGACTTGCTTCCTCCCACGACCTTAGACTTAAAGAGATATTTCTTTATTGTAAATAAGCAAATAGCTGCTGTGTGGATTGTAAGAGGAAAGAGACATATTATGATGCTTGTTTGTGGTTGCGGACACACTCACCTCGCAGGATCAATTGAAACCACAGTTTGAGAGGTTTGCCGGAGTTAGAACAATGAATTCACTGAATAGTTACTTGTAAAAAGAAGAGCTCAAATGTTGCTGAGCTTGCTGATGAAGATGATCATTTGAAGTGGATGAATCTGATGTTGATGATGTTGATGATGTTGAATGTGTTAAACTAGTTAACTAGTTAGCCATGTGGGAAAAAAGTATGCAGTCCAAGATTCCAAGGTGTTTGGACCATTCTCACCAATCAATACAAATTATCCACAGTAACTAAGCTACTTACATACGTAAAAACTACAGGACCTTAGAATTCTTGGTATCTTAGCTTACATCCCCCTTAATTTTACCTCATTTCATTTTCCCAGGGCCGGGGAACTGTGGCCGCCCGCTTGTCGGTAACTCCCCCTCTCGTCCCGGCGTGTTGGGCGTTGCCGAAAGTACAGTTTCTTATCCACAAGCAACTAGTATGTACGCAGAGGGTTGCGGGGGATGTAGGACAGGATGCACAGTACACCACCATATCTACATCCACATAGCAACCAGCAATTGCTGCAATCCAATTTTATGCCAGAATATAAAGATCCAATATCCATAAAATATAGGCCCGAAACTGGTAAATACAACGTGCATCATAATTAAAAAGAACCTACAGACAAGAAACAAAACATGCAGATAAAAAACACTAAAAAGAAACAGAACCATATAAAAAAATAAACAAGATGGGGATAATAAAAATTAATACCAAAAGTAAAAGAAATACACGCACCCAAAGACTACATACACCAAAACCATCACTCACAGACCTCAACCCGATCCCAGGCGAAAAAATAACACCAAGAAACTGCATTAGTCGATATCAGCAAATTCATCACTCGACCCGTCATCAAAATCATCCTCATCCTCATCCTCATCCTCATTGCTATCATCCTCAATTACATACGTAGGCTTCCTCGCCATCGTCGCGGCCCGGCGAGCCGGACGACCTCCCCTAGCCGGCGGATTAGCTTTCCTACTGGCCACTGGAGCAACCAAATCATCACTAGCATCCGAATCGTTGTGCTTCCTGACAGTAGGAGAGTCGAGGATGTCATTGGCCATTGCATCGATATCGTCATCGGAAAGCCCGCCAGCTAGCATCTTTGCTTTGGCCTTTTTCGCAGCATATGCCTTGGCTGCGGGGGAAAGAACTGTTTTCTTGGCTGGCGCTGCTGTGTGCTTGGCTGCAACTTTTTTGCCTTTGGACTGTGTTGTGCTGGCAGATGCTTTGTTTGTCTTTGCAGCGGGCTTTGCGGTACCAGCTTTCGCTTTGGAAGCAATCGATTTTGAAGTTACTGGCTTAGAGAGGGCAACTTCTTCCACTTCATTGTCTTCATCCTCATCATTGGAGTGCTTTGAATCCTTCGGCTTCACCAGAAGAGACCTCCTGGGTGAATTCTGTGGAATCAACTTAGAGTAATCTGTTTCATCAGGATCAAAGTCGGTATTAACGGCTTTGGGAGTTCTTGTTGTCGGTTTGGATCCAGCACTAGTTCCGGGACGCGAAAGTTCAGAGAAGAGGGTTCGTGACTCGGATAATGGGTCAGCCGTCCCACCAATTCCTTTGACCATTTGACTAACATCTCCCAGCAAGTCGATGTCGTTATCACTGTCAGATCCAGTCGAATCATCGAACGTAATGGGTTTTCTATTTGCTTTTGCTTGACGTTGGGGTGTCCTCGAAATAATTTCCACATCCGAATCATCCCTGTCATTCAGCGGTACCTTCTTAGGCGGAGGAGCTGCTATCCTAGGAGTCCTCTTTCCGGGCAAAGGTGCAGGCTTTGGCTCAACAAAATCGCTTTCATCTGAAACTGACCATTCCTGCTTCAAGGCTTGAGGACCCGATTTCTTTGAAGGCGCCACCACCTCCAGATCGCTAAGTTTGCCTGGTTTATCAACATTTACAGTGTCGGCAGGTTTGAGGGCTGGTGAAGCTGCTCTGGATTTTTGAGCAGGCATTACTTCTGGTTCGAATTCATCGAAATCACTCAACCCATCGAGCTCAACAAGTCTCGCTGCTTTAGATGCGGCAGCTCTTGGCTTTCTGAGTGGCGGTCTTTCTGGTTTTCCTTCATCCAAATCACTCGCGTCATCTGCACCCACGCCTTGGGCCGGTTTAGGGTTGGGAGCAGGTTTACTAAGATAGCTGAGAAGATTGCCTTGGGGCTTTGAGCGATTAACCGTCGTCGCTTTGGATGATTTCTTCGTTTTAGGAAGATCGAAATCGCTATCATCATCATGGGCAGCTTTGCGTTTTTTAGGGCCTTTGACAGCAGTCTTGAGCTTCGAGGACACTCGACGAACACTCTTAGCGCTCTTGGCTCGGCGACGACCTTCATCTTCGAGCTGGAATTTCCACTCCGCGATAAAGTCATCAAGGTCTTTCCTCCAGATATCTTCCTTTGACAATTTGATAAGGTTGTCAACCTCTATTTCTTTCTCTCCAATCTGACGACGGAGTTTTTCGACTCTTTCCTGAGTCAAGGACCACAGAGGCATCTATTTCCATTTGTTAGCAACCAAAAATCACTGCT